GAAAAATAAAGACATTATTAAATCTGCTAACGTTGCGAAAGGGGTTAAATCAATTTCTAAACAGAGATCGAAGACATCAGATCATGTCGAGAAATTGCTTTTGCTTTGGATAACTGAAAAACAGTGCTGGAGACAGCGTATCGGAAGCAATTATTTGCGAGAAAGCTAAAATGATACACGCTGATCTCACGAAAAATCAAGCAGGAACTAGCCAGGAAAGCAAGGTGTTTAAAGCCAGCCATTTTTTTACACTAGAACGGATTAATCATTTTTACATTACTTCTTATGGGAAAGGTTGGTTTGGTATACGTCCAATTCAGTATAAGTCGAAACATCGGGAACGGATTAAGGTCGTATACCGAGGTTCCACTGTACTTGATTGACTGTAGTTTATGTATTTTTGGTTTTGTTTGTGAAACTCTTGAAATAAAAATTATATTATGCACATTAATGTTATTTTCCATACTAAGTAGCATTCTGGTACCTTTTTTGTTAGCAGTATATCACTGCTTGCATGGAAAAAGACAAGAAATGCACCACAAGGAGAACAATCCAAGCTAAATTAGTGTTCAGATCCAATCTGAATCCATATCTTACAGAAACAGACCATTGGCTGCATTGAACAGACTCAACATTTCCAGAAAAAATGAGTACTTTTCTGTTGAATACTCTCTATTTTGAAACTTGTGAGTGTGTTGCCATCAAATTTAATAGTAGACTTCATTTACACTACCTTTAAGTAGCTATAACTGATCAAAGATGGCACGGTCCATATAGCAAGTGAAATAAATATTATTTACACATATAAAGGTGTATATTAGTTATTAACAGCTAAAAACTAATATATGCCAACAAAACTTTAAAAAAATGAATTTAATTTACTTCATCAAATGTTTTCAAGTTCGTGGAAATGAGCAGAATCTACTATAGCACCATACTATAGCATCAACTTATAATTCATTGTTTATCAGCTGTGTTAAAGCCTCGTAAAGAGACTTAATGCAACTGGATAAGCAAACCAATGACATAGCCCGTTTCATTTGAAACAAACAATGCCATTGGCTTACTTATCCAGCTGTATTAAAGCTGCTCTACCAGGCAACGATTGAGCAAAGACATAATTAGAACACATTGTCTCTGCTCAATCAGAACTGCCAAGTCTACTGAATGCAGCCAATGGCTTATTATAGAGCCATATTAATATACTTATGTACTCTTCGTATTTGCATATATGAAGTGAGCAATGTCATAACATTGTAAATGCCATTTTCCTGTAAATACATTTAATTGAAGAATTGAATTATAAATGCAATGTTTTCTGCTGCAAAAAAATATTGTGGTGATAGTGGCACTGTAAGTGGCTATACTTTGAAGTTGAATTTATGTTACACCACAATGTTTAAAGCACCAAAGTGCAAGTTACGTCTTTCAGTGCTTAAAATGTTACAGCTTACATCATTTTGATCTTCCAGAGAATTTGTAACCTAGCGAGTTTTTACCATTTTATTGAAAAATTGAAATGAATTCATTCACTAGAAAAAGTTTTTTTGGTTCTTTTTGGTTAATGGGGCACCAGAAGACTATTGCATTTAACAATTAAGCCCACATGACCGTGCTAGCTTCAAGCAGCCCACTCGACTATTTGTTCAGTACCTGTCAATGTTATATAGTTTTAAGGGAGTGTGGGGCTCACTCGCACCAAGGCACACTTCTACATGTGAAGCATGTAAAAAAATCAGTAGACTGACTGGATGGAAAAATTCAACAAACAAGACTGATATTTGTTAAAAACTGAACTTTGAAGATGAATATCTGGAAAAGCATCAACAATTCTAAGATGGTGCAAAACCCCTCATTCAGAGCTCAAATCTTACCCGTTGCCATACATATAGGCCTGCGTCCCATTAACCGAACAGTACCACGTTTTCTTACCTCTCCCGAAAAGTTTGTTTTTTGGCATTTATGGCATCATATATATAATGGATTACTATACATATCAATTTATGATATGTATAGTAATCCATTATATATATGATGCCATAAATGCCAAAAAACAAACTTTTCGGGAGAGGTAAGAAAACGTGGTACATGCTTCACATGTAGAAGTGTGCCTTGGTGCGGAATCTAATGATAGAAGTTATCTTTAGGTGACTTATTTATAAGTGTACTGTACATATGTGCTAATAATGTAAAAGTGAAAATAAAAGAAGTATATTATCAATTACTCAATCTGAATGACTGTTTATTAAATTGAATATAGTTCTTGTAAATTTAATTAAGGAAAAATATTAATGAGATAATCGATTTGTAAATGTATTTAAAAACTTTGATGGTGATAATTACTAAAGTTGAAATTCTAAAATACCAAATCATTTACAAGTAATGATGTTAGAAAGTATCAAAAATGAAATATTTACCAGTTTATATTCTTGTCGATTAATCGAATTAGAGTGATAAATCGTTTTTATTATATTTCCAGCTTTTTATAAAAAAACGATTATAATACTGAAACTCGAAACAAAATAAAATAAGCTCTTGTCGAAAATCAAACTTCGTTTATTTACAAAACTCCCTCTGACGGCAAAACTTATTTTTGTTTTTTCGGTAAGGTAGTGTTGATTATGGTTAAATATTTAATTACAATTTTGAAAGTTATAATCATATTTTTAATTAAAATAATTAATTATAAGTATGTTACATTATTAACATTTTATTTTTAATAATTTTTGTGTTTTAAATAAAATTATATATTTATAACTAAATTAAATAAATTCTTAGCTTGAAATGTATCATTCCTAAAATTTTCCATAATTTTTTTTATATTAATATTTTGTTTTTATAAAATATTTAGATTATAGACGCCATTAGGCAATATTTATATAGCATTACATGAATCTGGATTCGAATTCTTTTTCGTGTTAAATGAACCGGGATTCTAATTCAAGATCAAAGGCGACATGCCGAATATCATTAACATATTTTGGCACCGAATGTGCTTCAACTATAATTTAATTTATTTACTCAATTTTTCTTAGCACCGTAAACACATAGGGGTTTAAAAATTTAAACGATTTATAGAGCATAATAAATAGTGAAAGTTTCGCTTTAGGTAGATTTTGTCGTTGGTTAATTGGTCCAAAACAAGGAAGCAATCGAAATGACGTAAAATTAAAGATTTAGTAATTGTTTAGTCTATAAACCAGGTTCGCAGTCACATTTAAACGCAGTGTGAATTACAATAAAATATTTCATTTTAGTGTTGTAGAAAACGTAAAGGCACCTGAATGCCGCTTTGGGCATTCTTATTTGTCTCATTCGTTGTCTTTCGAAAAACACAGATTTGTGCCCGTTCCGACTACAACTCAAATCTCCTAGAGAGGCAAAATGGCATCTAGAATTTTCATAGGTAATTTGGCTCGAATACACTCGTTTCGCATCACGCAGCTGTTTCCATTGTGGGCTTGACTTTTTTTCGTGTCCATTACGGCTTTGGCTCTCTTAGTGTCCCAGGAGTCAGGAAGAATTACTGTAGCTATTATATTGAATTATTTTACATTTATTTGCATAAACAAATATAAAATTGCAACATTTAAATTAACAAAGATAAAATACAGTAGAGCGTCGTTTATCCGGAGGTCGGTTATCCGAAGAAATTCCAGTCGACAAATTTAAATTTTCGCCAGTGCTGTGGCGCTGTAATCTTTGGCTATGTCTTCGGCTACTCAAATATTTTATGTTTTTGATATAAATTAACTTCTGAAGTATAATTTTTTATTGTTTTTATATTTTTCAATATATTTATTTTGTTTGTACAAAATAAATATATTGTATCGTTAAAATAATTTTTAACGATACAATAGCCTTCGTTAGGCTTAATATCGACGAAAATTCAACGCGAAGCGACACGCAACGGAGAAAAATTTCAACACGGGATAAATTAATATATTTTGTCGTACATAATTGGTTATCCGAAAAATAAGTTATCCGAACAACCCCAGTCCCCAATTGATTCGGATAAACGACGCTCTACTGTACTTTGCTTCCGTTAATCATCCGTCGTTCGCTCCAGTTGACAGTCTACAATTTAACAAGCACGGAGGCGACCTTTCTTTTGAGGTTACTGCTTATTATATTGAAGTTTATTTGGATTTCTTTTTAAAATTTATTTTGTAGTCATTAAAAGAGCCCTTTTTTTAATCCGATCGTGGAATTGGGTCCAGATTACAACGGGAACAGATTGCAACGTCCAGATGAGATCAACCATAAAGAAAATGCCTGGGGATCAATCTCAGGTCTTCCACAGCGGAAGATAAACATCTTTTCTGCCTAGGTATCCGGCTGGTATTCATTCTATAATTGTAATTGTTTCATTTTGGAGTTTTGCGCTCTTTTATTTAATGTAAATGATAAAGCTACTTTCTAGCTCCTTCTTTGATTATGTTTGTGCTTTATTTGGAGGAGATTCCTTTTTTAACTCTCCACTCTTTGCGCATTAATTAAAAGGCCACTTTTTTAAACTGGAGATTCTCTGGGATTACTTGATAACTCACAGAGCTATGGGTAAAACCGCTATGGGTTCACACGGAGTCTTTATAAGATTAAAACCGATTTTCATCTCTTAAGCCTCGTTCACATTAGTAAAAGTACTTGAATTCAAGTTTATGTTTATACTTTAAAAGCAAGTATCAAGTATATATTTAAAATGGAGTCAAATGGGCTAGTGCGTGCTGGAATCTCCGTAATAGCAACTGAAATTGTAAACGAATTATTGAAAATCTTGGAAAATTACGGTAATGGGAAACACTCAATATGGGCGAGAAAGTGGAATAGCAGAAGAAATCGCCTCGGTGCTCCTGCGACTCCGTTAAAAGAAGTGGCTTCAGAAAATAGAGAAGTATACAAAAATCACTTAAGAATGTCTGTACGCCAATCTGATGATGTACAGACATTCATAATCTATTCAAGATTATGAATGTCTGTACATCAGTATTAAATAACGCCACAAATACAGATGTTGTTTTTCACAAATTCGTTATTTGTGAAAAACAACATCTGTATTTGTAGCGTTATTTAAAACTGCAGTATACATATTTATTCATATTGAATAGCCTTTTCCAAGCAACCTGAATCACATCATTCTCTTCGGTATTGGTATTAGAGCGAAAGTATGACTAATTGGAGTTAGAAGTTGTGGATGGAAGATGGTTCCATAAAACATCATATAGATAAACAAATTTCTCGAAATTTACTTATCTTTTCATTACTCCACTTATCTTTTATTCTTACTACTCATATCTTGTCGCTAAGGAAATAACAATACAACTTCACTTTTCAAAATCAAAACGCAGCTGTCTTCAAAGCATTAAATGGGAATAGTTCACATTATGCAAGTTGTTATTAGTAGTAGTGGTTTGGGTGGCACTAATCACAAAATTAATTTTTACTCAAGTAAATTTTAAAATATGAAATAATATTAAGTTAAAATTAAGTTAAGATAAAATTTGTTTTAATCACACTAATCACAAAATTAATTTTTACTCAAGTAAATTTTAAAATATGAAATAATATTAAGTTGCATTGATAAAATTTGTTTTAATCACACTAATCACAAAATTAATTTTTAATAATAAATTAATGTTTTAGTAAGAAGTTTTATTATAAATTTCTCTCGAAGTAATATAACACTGAAATAATTTTTCTAATCACAAAAGTAATTTTTACTCAAAGGAAATAATTTGGCGAGTAAGTTAAGATTTGCAATATCATCTTGAAGTTGAGGATGCTGTTGCTATTCAAGTAAATTTAAAATATGAAATAAGTTGCACTCATAATATTAAGTTGTTTTAATAATAATTTGTTCTGAGTGTTGAATGGACAAATAACTCTGATTTTCAATAAGAAGTTTTATTATAAATTTTTTTCAAAGTGAGTGGTAATTTGAAATAATATAACACAGAAATCTTTTTACTTTCGCATTACATGAATACAGTTTGTTTAAGTGTTTATAGTACACTTAATAAATATATTAAAACAGTTTATTTCTGCAAGTAAGACCAGCAATATATTTTCGCGATTGCGAACGATATAATCTCCATCTAATTTTTGATATTTTATAATGTTACACCAAGAAAGTTGATTTTGGAAATCGTCGATAAATTGTTCGTCAAGATTTTGGTAGCGAGAAACAACATCCCAGTCTAGATAATCTTTTAACTCGCGTAAAGTCTTTGTTTTTAATTGTTGGTATTTTAAAATTTTTTCATTATCAAAGTGATGCATGAAGATAACAATAAAATCGTCCGAAAGAGTTTGAAATTCTGCAACTTTATTCCAATCAAGATGGTCCAAAAAATCAGTTAGGAATTGTTCATTTAATTGCTGGTATTGGCAAATTAAGTCCCATTTCGCATAATCAATATGTTGTATGATAAACGGGATGGAGAATTTGTAATTTTTCCATATGTATTCCCAATTTAACTTATCCGCAAATTCTGAAATAGATGTATGAGATAAATCGCGTTGTTGACTGACGATATTCCAATCAACATAATTTTTAAAACGACGAATAGTACTTTCTTCTACTAGCGAGAAAGTTTCCCAGTCGATGGAGGGTTGTGAATTATCTAAAAAGAAATAAACAATTCTTTTATAATATTTGTTTATTTGAATACAGATTTAAAATTGAATACATGAGTACATATATAATACATGAGTAAATATACAAAATAATAGTTGAGTACATATACAAAATAATAGTGATGTACATATAAAAATAATAATTGAGTACAGACAAGTTAATTTTCGTATCAGTCTCCCAAACCTTCTTTTTGAGAAAAGGCAATTTCGGTACATTCTCCAAAGCCTTTTTCATCTCTGTCAGTGATGTCTAATGTTTCTAAAAAAGTCGGATGCATAATTTTTTCGAAAATTAATTGTGCGATGGGCGTTCCAGGTTCAAAAATAATAAGTTTTGGTCCAAAATTATACATTAAGACTCCAATGTTTCCACGATAGTCACAATCAATGACTCTCGCATTGATTATAATGTTATTTAGAGATAAAGAAGATTTTGGAGCAATTCTAGCATAACAGTTATTCGGTATTTCTATAGCCAGATCCGTAAATATTACTTTTTGTTCATTCGGATTAAGTTCAAATCCATTAACACAAAATATATCATATCCGGCTGCTCCCGTAGAAGCCTTTTTCGGAATTTTTACATTTTCAGATAACTTTTTAAAATATACAAATTCTAGAAAATAAAATATTTATTTATTACATTTTATGCAATCACATTTTATAAAAGATTCGTTGAATATCGGTAATGTTATTTTATCATTTATTATGAAAAATTTACATTCATATGTTTTATTATTTGGCAATTTTAACAATGCTGCTTTATTATGTGTTTGTTTTAAACAAGGATAAGTTTTACTACAAACGCTATGTATTACATAAGAACGTTTTGTTTTATATACTAACAAAAAGCCATATTGCGAAGATGATGATATCAGATTATCTGCAAGAATTAAAAGTAGAAATTGTAGTGGCCAAATGACACTACATCTATTCCATTACCTAAAATGAATTTTTTATTGTAAAATGGAGAAAGAGAAATTTTATTTTGTAGATATGTTGTTACTACATGATTTTTGCTTTTAATTCCATATTGTTGATGTCTTAATAACTCTGTGTTCAGTAAAACTTCTTTATATTTATCATGATTAAATGTTTTTACAACAGATTTTTTAACCCCCTTAGCAGTTTTTTTATTTTGTTTATCAAAAATATAAGAATACATTTTTGGTTTTAGGGAGCAAAATTCAATTATTGGTTTTTGACAGAATTTCATCTCTAAAATATCCTAATTTATTTTTGTTTGTTTCATTATATAATTTGTGAGTTTTAGGATAGTTACTAAAATCAAAAATATCGGGGAACGATTTAAAATCCTCGTAAACATCGTTTGTATAAATTTGAAGTGTTAGAGAATCTGTGTCAGTATATATAATAAATGTACATTTTCCCCATACCTGTTTTTAAATATTTTATAAAACGTTTCATATATGTGTAATTTGCTTAATTCTAATACGCAAAAACCTATATAAATTGGTTTGTCTAAAGTTAAATTAAGTTTTTTAAAAATTGTGAGATTATCATTTATAATTTGAAAATTTTCTACAGATGGTTTAGATAGATATCTACGATATTGATTTAATGTCGTAGCTGCTTTTAAGTTAATATGCTTTCTTACATTTTGACACGTTTTGCCAAAAAAACTATTAATCATTAGTTTAAAAAATGATTTGTCAAAATCGTTAGTTGATTCTTGTCTTTTTTTATTATTAAAATATATATATATTTTAAGCCATGCATTTTTTCTGAGGAAAATCCTTTACCAAAAATGTTGAGAACGTTATTTACATAAGGTTCGAAATTTTGAGCCGTGTGTAAATAGAAGAATTAAATAGGATTCTAACGCAAAAACTTGTTTTGTTCTATCTACTTCCGTTTTCAAGAATTTTTGGATTTTTTCATGGAAATAGCAATAAATTTTTAACCCATCTGCTGGAAATTTCGTATATAACCAAAGAGGCTACAGCCTTAATTGTAATTCTTGTTACAAGTCGATACTTTACTGGATATAATTGTAAGAGACACGAGAACCGCAAACGAAATTTTAGAAAATGGCAGTGTGATTTAAATGGAAGATATTCACAAGATTTTTCTGCTGTACGTTATTTTATATAGGAATTTATTTTAAATATTTTGTCAATTTTTTAAGCTTTCATTCAACAAGTACAAAATAAATAAACCGAAACAAAATTTCCATGAGAAGTTACTGTTCTCCTGTTCCTAAAATCCAAATAAAAGAAAATTGAAATTCTGAAAGTATTCATTGACTTTTTTTTATTTAAATATACAAAATTTTTACCTGATTTGGAGTCATTATACTTCCATTGTAACTCTTATTAAAATCTTTATATTTGTGCTGCCAAGGACAGTAACGAAAGATATAGACGGTACTACAATTTAGTTTTACCATGTAATTTAGTTTGTTAGAAAATCGAGTTTACCTCTTTATTTTGTGGTGGTCTACACGGGGCGATTTTTGTTTCTAAAGTTTGTCCACACGATACTTCTAAATGTGGAAAGCTGATGGTCTGAAATTATACATATTTAACCTATTATTGAAAGCAGTAGCAGAAGCTTGTACAAGGCTCTAGGCAAATGTGGATTCCTGGAATCGCTATTAAAACTACTCATTAAAACTACACTATGAAAGACGCGAGATGTAAAAGGATATTTTATGGCAGATTACTTATGATATATGCCATACACGATTAGTAGTTCGATCTCGCAAAGTTCATTCATAGTAACTACTTTTTTTTTTTAACTCTTTCCGCCCTGTGGGTACTAAGAGGCCTTTTTTAGCAAGCCCATTATGGGTTCGGCCAGGCCCACAATGGGGCTGCCGGGTAGTGTGGGACGGAGCCCGACATATCCGAACGGACCATCCCCCGAAAAATTCCAGGGGATTTTTCGACCCGTTCGTATTCGAACCCGGGTCCCCTAGAGCAGTCATCCGGCCGCCTCATAGTAACTACAGTCGACCCCCCTATAACACGGTAGATACGTTCCGTGTTATGTGATTTCCGTGTTGTACGAGTCACTTAAATACATGAGCCAATCACAGCCCGACACGTGTGCAGTTTAGGGACTATGGCTCTTTGAAAGGTTTTCTTCCATAAAATTAATCGATTCTAGACTAATTTGACTCAACATTTCCAAAATACGTATAATTTTTTGGGAATAATCCGTATAAACTATGCTATAAACAAAAAATTGTAGGATTACTTACCGAGTGTGTACCGTTCGACGACGTCATTGCTTAAGCTTGTTTTCGTCGCGGAGCGCCGTTCCGCGACGAAAACAAGCTTAAGCAATCGGGACATTCCAATTTTCAACGCGAGTGTTGAATGTTGAAGTCAACAATTTGACGTTATCAACGACGTTCCAACTCGAGTACGAAGTGCTTAGTTCCCATAATTCCATTCTCAGCAAGATGGATTCCATTCAAATGTCTTACCAATTACCCACAATTCATTGGAAAGTAGCAGTCACCATATCTGTTGAGTGCTGAGTGTGTTGAGACAGCACTGACAACAGCGCCACTTCAACATTGAAAAAAGGAACGACTTTTAACGAATGTTGAGATCAGCGCTGAGTCAGCGTTGAAAATTGGAATGTCCCGAATGACGAAAGTTTTCTGATAAGTTATTTTTCTGCGAAAAATTCGCTGAACTTTGAAGACATCATTAATAAAAATAATTTTTATGGCCGTTGAATAAGAGATGTTTTTTTCACAAGAAATGTATAAAAATTTATCATTACATATTTTCTACCTATTAAACTTCTGTTTAATTTATTAATTTTATTGATATTTAATATTAATATTAATTTATTAATTAACTTGTTAATTTTGTTTAATTTAAGTACCTAATTTATATACTGTACAGACGATAGTAAACTCAACTTACCCGCCTAAACTCTCCGTAGCGTGGCGCTGGACGGCAGGAAAGTAATTCGTCTGCCCGTCCACTATTGGTCCAGATTCGACCAATCCTGTCGCGACACGAGTCGGCGATGACGTTTTACCGAATTATAAGAGTTTTTTTTAGCATGTTTGTGCGAATACTGTCGCAATTTTTTCGCCGTGATATAGGAATCCGAACTATAGGAATCCGTGTTATAGGGGGGTCTACTGTACTGCTGGACTCTCGCGAGCTATTCGTGAGACCTTGCTCTATGTGGGATAAATCCGATGAACGTAAAGACCAGCGAAGAAGTGGCACGGGGCAATCATCTACGAATTGTAGATCTTTTTGTGCCACCTGTGATCAAGCATTGCCTAGTTAGAACATGATGATAGAGAACTTCTGCAAATAATCTTTGCAAAAGTTCATGTTCCAAGTCTCTCTGTTGTATGGCTGGCCAGTCAAGGTACCAGAAATGCATATAAATGCATTTCTGGTACCTTGACCACGGAAAAATGAAAACGGAAGTATAACCCAATGGCATCCACACCACATCATCTGGAGTTGAATTAGAATGGAACTGTAAAGTAAATGTCTCCAGGGACCCTCCGCTGCGATGACCCTTACACGAATCTGTTCATCATGGCGCAGTTAATTGAACCGGGACTTGTCCAAACACACGATGCGATGCCAGTCATCCTGCCATTAGCGACATTCTTAAAACCATTACAATTATAGATGCCTGTGATCGAGGGTTAACAGTAGTTGAAGCAAAGGTAGCGAGCAAAGGTGACCCTGGTATTTTCGAGACCTTAGTCAAAATTAATTTTTGAGTCTATTAAAAGACTCAGAGGGAAGATTTATTTAGTCTGCAATAATATGAACATTTTAAATATAGAAACAAACAGTAAAACACAATTTTATTTTCAATAATTACCAATATGATAATTTAAATACTAAAATATATAAAATTTGCGATGGCTCCGAATGCGCAAGGATCTAGGCGTCACCTTTTTTCGCCTGTATGTAGGACCATTTCTGGCGTCGAGCGAAAAGATCCACTGCTGCAAATGACATCTGACAATGCGTATGAACACTCGTTGATGTGTGTAAACCCCACATTGTTTGGCAAGAATCCGTGATGTGCCTGTTCGGTTTATCAGTCATGTTTGCTCTCCCTTTGTGCGTTAGGGCGTTGACGGGTTCGACCCTTTTCTTACTTACCGATGCCATACAATGCCTACGTTCGCATTTATTCTAACACGAATGCCGATGTCCCGGATGTTCTCCTCTCTATATTCCCACAATTCTCCTCCTTTCAAAGTCCGAAAGCTGTACTTATGGATCTGAACGTCTTCTTCGCCGGGTCCTGTTTGGTTCGTAAGAATAAACTACAATACTCTTAAGGGCGTGAACTGCCACTCAATGAAGTTCTGGGAACCTGCTTGCCCTTTACGGTCTCTGCTTTTTGTGGAAGAACCCAGGGAATTTAACACACACTATATGTGCTGCGCTTTTAATCACTTTTACATCCTGCAACGACTTATCCAGTCTGAAAATTTTGGTAAAATATGGCGCGCCTTTTTCAGCGTTACATTTTAATGACCAGTAACGTATACGTTAAGTTAATAGCGAGATTGAGGCCGAAGTTTTAAACGCGAAAACGTGTACGTCGGACGTTCGGCGCCCCTTTCCCGCAAGCCTAAAAGTTTGACAATGGAGTTTGTAATGTCGAGCCGAATTCCACCGACTATCCAAACACCATTGTCAAACTTCTAAGCTTACGGGAAAGCGGCGCCGAACGTCCCACGTACACGTTTTCGCGTTTAAAACTTCGGCCTCAACCAGGCTAATAAAATGTAAAAGCAATACTCGTATAATTCAAGTAATTATACAAGATCTAGGATTATACACTAGAGTCCAAGTACAAGCCAAGAAAAGAATCAAGAAGAGTATATTTACCTCTAAAAGCACCAGACCTTAAGCTTTTGCCTAATGTCTCGAGCCTACTCATCGCACATTTTATGCTTTTATCAAAGATTATATTTAAGATACTTACGTGAAAGGACAATTGATGAAGTGTCGAAGCGAAAGAGAGATCCGAGAATGAAATCTAAAAATGCATTATAAAGTTGAAAACTCATAACTATGCGATTTATTTTTGGATATTGTGAATAGTTTACCTGGTCGACATCGTCGTGAAATACGCATTTCAATTTTCTCTCCGTAATATCATTAACACCAACATTTTCCCACTGAAATTAGAGAAATATTTAATTTATTGTAAATTGTGATATATTCTTTTACTTTGAATCTTACAGATTCAACTGGACTAGCTTCGTGAAGTGGAGCATCCATGTACTGAACCATTATTTTATGTCTTCCTTTCTCTTTGGGGTCATACTTATTCGGAAGAAGAGAAACTGAAAATGATATAAAGTTCTTTATATCCTAGTGTAAGGGATTTAACAGAGCACTCATTTATTAAAAAAACAAAGATCTAAACACAGTTTTTGTTGTAATTTTTCGGTCACATCCCTCAAATAGAACAGACACTATTAGTTAATTAAGGCTGATACCGCATAATGGATGCAAGTTCGAGTCTTGGTTAACTCAAAAATATTCATGGATATGTCGAAGGGATATAACGGGCACTATCTCTCAACACCCGGTTTTGCCATTGTAGCGTAGAAAAAGATTAAATTTTAAGTTTTAATTAAAAGTTAAAATGTTAGTGCATTAAAATAATATATGTTCTTATTGTTATTGGATTTAAACCAAAAATGGTGCCAAGACGACGTAAATGACAAGATATTAACTGTATCACAATTGGTCAAAGAGATATTCGATTGAACGCAACCAAACACATTATGTGAAATAAGTCATTGTTACGCAGTTGACTCTTAACCAATGAACAGAGCGAAATTTTTTAAAGCATTCTTTTACAGAAATTTGCAACTAAAAATTGATTAAGATAAAGTGCGATTTGTTAAATCCACATATCAAAGATTGGCACGAAATTCTGTTTTTGTAAAAATATCTGTAAAACATGTCCTACTTAAGACGATAATTATTTCATCGGGAGCTATTGTTCCTTTAGGAGGACGAATGGAGTATTTATTGGGTTGATTAGTCTTTATTTTAAAATAAATTCTTTTCTTAGTTACGTTGGTGAGAATTAATTCAGATATCGAAATTTCGTCGAAAGGACCTGAAAAACAAATTTACAGTCATATGTTGATTGTAAAGTTATCCTACTCCATGCTTACCCGTGAATTCGATTTCATTAGATGGATCTATTAATAAATCTTGTTTAGGCATTCCTATTTTCAATGATCTATCTCATCAATACAATCTATCTCATAATGATCTATCTTAATGATATACGGAGAAAAATGTTAAAATAGCATAATTGTTAATAATATACTTGGGAAAGAAAAGCAATTGTTAGCAGAGACAGACTGCCAAGAATACTTGTGACAATACTGATTTATGGAATTGTTTTAAGTATTTTCATAATATAAAATTCTTTTTCTCACGAAAGAAAAAAATCACTCGCAAATAATTTTTCATAAATTTATGTACAATTGTCCATTAATTTCCGGAGAAGAACACTAAATTATGCTACCTTTATATGACATTACTTCTTTGTTCTGATATTATGAAAAAAAAATACAAAAGGCATTTTCAAAGTCTGTTGTATAGGCAATGCCGTAAGAAGGTCCTTTTCTATGGCCCTCTTACATTATCACGTCGAGCCAAAACGAGCAATCGGGTGACGAGTAAAGAGCCTGGCGTATATAGTTTTGTCCGGGATTCAATTCGGTCAAAACTATATACGGTCCCTTCAGAATGGCATAATGGTGAAGACTGGGCTCGACTGCCTATAAAAATTTCCTGAATTGCTCACCTGGATTCGATTCAGGGTCCTCCAGAGTGCAGCCTTTACTGTCTCTTTAGTCACCTGCTTAGTAAATTGACGAAAACGCATTTTAACTTTCCAACGTTTAAAATAGTTTGGTAAGAAGCAAATGATCCTATAATTTGGGCTCGATACTTATAATTAAATATAAAATGGAACCGAGAGTATTAATAGATATGTATATTGGTTTGTAATTCAAATTTTAAAGAAGAAAACTATAGTTTCTCTCAGAATAAGAGTGGAGCCGATATTCAATAATCTACATACGTGGAGAAAACAGTTCCCTGTTCATTACGAAGTAGACAATACTATGTATAGAACATTTATTAGAAATTATAAGATATGTTTAAACTATTTAACTTCTGTTGTAAATAAATTAAGACACTTGGCGGGTTTCCTCATCTTTATTGTGTCTTAATTTATAGCACTTCATTGTGTTAGGAGCAGAAACATTTTAATCAATTTTAAACTTGTATTCGTGATAAAGTATTATTTATAAGCTCTATGGTACCATTAAGTACCGATCAGTTAGGTAAGATAGGAAAAACTTATAAACATCGTTTTCAACATCTTATCTTATTATAAAGCAGCTATATACCATACTTAACTGTAAAGTGCTATTCACAGTTAAGCATGGCTATAATACTGTATATTATTATAGCTGCATTTTCAATAAGGTGTCGAAAAATCAGTTAACCAGTGTAAAGAGAGAATTGACACCTATATATACAATGTATTCACGAGTGTACTTGGAACGCAACGTAGTTAACTGACTTTGATCCACACTAATATATTATGTAACGATATTACGATAATCCAGATAAATGTATATTTTTAAAAGTAGCTTTTAAAACAGAAATCTAAGGTCGTTCCAGTTTCTCTAAGAATTCAAATTACATAATGGAGTCTATTGGTTAATGCAAAGCGAAAATCTTTGTTTAAAATAGTTCTTTTATAAACATTTCCGAAAGGTTTTGTGCAAATAACTAAATTAGCTCTTTGCGTGCCATTTGAAAGAACTTCTTGATTAACTAATGTAAAATGAAAAGAAACCTTGAATAAGTTATCGATCGACTTAGCTCCTGATGAACAACTGCATCAACGCACAGACTAAGGAATTGCAAGATCGGAATGGCAACACGTGCTCATGTTTGGACTTCTGATAGAAATGTTGGAAAGAAAATGGCGTGGCAACGAGAACCACCGAAATGTAGACTCCACTACCCAATCCCAAACAGAAAAAAGCACAAAACTATATTGCAATATACAAGACACATCCTGGCTCATTCCTCAATTAATGGAATTAATCAAGTCGCCCGAGCCAAATCGTGGATTTTAAGGCTCTTATGGTTTATTACGTTTACCTGTTGCTTAATGGGGTTTACTTACCACGCTACCACTTATTTTTCCATGTTCTTCTCTTATCCCACTACGGTCGAAGTTAAAGTGGAAAATACAGGAATTCTAGAATTTCCGGCGGTGACTATATGCAATAATAACAAGTAAGTAGTTTACGTGATATTTATTGCTTAAATAACTTCAAAATGTTCATATTGTTTCGATATTTTTAAAGATTTCTGAAGACTCTTTATTGCCAAAATTATCCGTGTGAAACAGAGACGATTAATGTTGAGGTATTTTGAAATTTATGTAATTTTAAGCCAGTGTTTCCCAATCAATTCTCAGATGATCATACCCTTTCTTTGCTGTAATTAAGACACCAAATCATTCTTTTTGCTATACTCGAACACAATAATAAAGTTTAAAAACTCGCTATAGTGAGTATTTATTTGAAATCTTTAAATTAAACAAACTGTGATTCTTGTACTTATCAAATAAAGTCAATTGAATTCTTGCCCATTACTCCTTTTTTTGGTTGATAGTGAAGTTGACCAGAGTAATATGCAATAGGACAACAGTGAGACTCCTTTTCAGTCCTATGTTCCTAGTAATGTCAAGAGAATCTAACATTCGAAATAAATTTCAAATAAACCAGAGATTGGGAATACGAACTATTAACTAAAAAAAAGCAATAGGCAAAAATTCAATTGACTTTATTGTGATAATGGAACTGCGATTCTTGATTTTATTTTAAAATTTCAAATAAATAATCCACATAGTGAGTTTTTAAAACTTAAGATCGTATACGTGGTGAACATGTCTATTCCTTCTTTAATTCGGGAAGAAATAGGGACGGAAGGAAATGATGCCGGCTCCAGAATTTCGAACACTAAGAAAATTATTCTTTTTCTTCTCATATAAAGGCAATACCCACCATCAAGATTATTAGAGAAACGAAGAGATCCCTGACAAATGTTTAATTTGTCTGATTTTTTAAGATTTTCAATATACCGATTGGGAAACATGGTCTTTCTATTATTAAATAACATACTTTAAGATTTAATACGTTTTCTAGGAGATAATGTGGCATTTGAACAAAAGTATCAAAATGAAATTAGGACACAAGAAAGATGATTTATTTCTTAAATGCAAATTAAAAGGAAGAAACGAATTGGAATCGGATGATTGCTTAAAGTAAGTCTATTAGGAATCTCAGTTTTTTAACTAATCGTGAATTTAAATAATAACATTATATAATCAATTTTAAAATATAGTATATTATTGCTTGTTATTAAAATCCCTGCTCACAGTCAAACAATTTCAAGTAAACATGTGATTACACATAAAACTATTGGTGTGTGATGGGTGAAACATCAATGATCGATGTCAGCAATCGATAGTAAAAAGCATCGATAATGGTTTTCAGACATCGATGTTTACTTACATTTTTAGTTTTTCCGATTACATCAGAAATAAAAAGAAAACGAAAGTTAACTCTTAATTTAAAAATTTTATTGGGGTATTTGTTATTGCAATTAGGTATATGACTATATGCAGCTCTTACAAAAGGAACAAATTAAACTGCTAATTTATAAAGATCTCCAAAATTCATAGAACTTAATATTAATAGTTTTTGTATGTGCTTTGGGCTCAGACTTGCTCATTTTTTATTAATAAAAAACCCGGCCTTAAAAAACAACGTTTCGGACAGCACTGAAGTTTCCAAATCGATTCCAAGCCGAATATTCCAAATCTCGAGGATTATTTAAAAACCATCGATGTTTTTAAACAATCGTAAACACGATCAATCGACGTATGAAATCATCGATGCCATCGGTTGGTTTTATGTAGTGCTGCGCACACTACACAAAACCAACCGATATATAGTACAATAGAACCTTGATTAACCGACCCCCGATCAACCGACCCCTCGGTTAACCGACCGTCCTAGTCGGCAAATTTCAAATGTCCGCTAGTGATGTCGCGCTACAATATTTGGCTATGTCTTGGCTACTTTAATATTATTTTTACGTGTTTTAGCTGGCAACACTCATTCGACCATCAAAGAGAGCCAATATTTAAACGAAGCTTAATTTTCTAATTTTTAACGATACAATAGCGACGATTATTATTTTAAAAAATTTTTGTTAGGCTTAACATCGATGAAAATTCAACGCAAAATAGGTTAATAGCGATATACTAATATACTAATTACATGGGATATAATAATATACTACACTAATAATGGATTTTTTCATACTTTTCGGTTATCCGACTTTTCAATTATCCGACCAACCCCAGTCCCCAATTAGGGCGGATAATCGAGGTTCTACTGTATATTAATTCGAGCGGCCGATGGCCGAGCGGTCAAGGTGGCAGCCCACCGCCTCTGGGGGACCCGGGTTCGAATCCGAACGGGTCGAAAAATCCCCAGGAATTTTTCGGGAGGTGGTCCGTTCGGATATGTCGGGCCCCGTTCCTCACCATTCGGCAGCCCCATTGTGGGCCTGGCCGAAACCATAATGGACTTGCAAAAAGAGGTCCTCTTAATGCCCACAGGGCGGAAAGAGTTTAAAAAAAAAGTATATTAATTCGCGAATAAAATGGCCTACAGATGGCCTTTGCATGACGAGAATGGACTAGGCTAGTCCCCTAAAGTCCTTGAAATATTGTCTAAATATTATTTTTAATGCATTTATATTAGAAACTTTTCACTAGAAAAAGGTGGATTTTTCCCATCCAAACTCCCCTTTTTTTACGCCGAGTTCTCTTACTCTTCCACGAAACAACTTGAACACCCCTCAGGACTCCTTTAGTCGATTCGTCGACAGGACTAGCTTGTACACACGTGTTCCTCTCATACTGTTGTGTTTTGTGCGCGTCCAGGCGACTTTTTAATAAGGGATTTCGTTTCTTATGTTTATTGAAAACAAAATTGCATTACTGATTTTTGTATTTCTATTATCATAAAATACTTGACAGTTTCGTCTAAAGTGTGAATCTTCTTAAAAAATGGTCTACGTGATTATAAAGTTTCAAATTCAACATGGAAGGTGTAATATTCATGTGAACCTTACTAAATAGTTCGAGAATAGTCCAATAATAGTGTCTGAGGAAGTAAAGGGATATCCGGCTTAACACATTGCACATTTATTTAACATATATCTTTGCAAGTACAGAACACGGCCAAAAAGAGGGCAGGTGCCCTCGGTTTCACAGCTTATATATCGGGCAGCCTCGCCTTCGGGCGCTGCGCTTGACGCGCCCTTTACAAGTCGTGGTAAGACACATGACAGAAGGGGACTCATTTGAAGAAGTGGGTCACTCTCAGCGAAACATAACGCAATTTTAATCTACGAATAATGTACTGTACAGTACCTCGATTGAGGTGAATCGTCACAGCAGAGTGAAGACAATCAACAATTTCCCTGATGTATTCTGGATTGCCTTGTCGTTTGGTGCGTTGCTTGACTCTTATGGCTGTTGGTGTGAAATTTTTTGCTCTCGTGATTTGACTCATTTTTGGTTTCTTGAAAAATGTCCAAGTTTCAGGCTCATAAAGGGAAAACTTTATCGCCACTATCTCAAGACGGATCGCCCAGAAATGTAAGAAAACGAATCGGAAGCGAGGAGACTCAGGTGAATCAACGGAACAGTTGATCTTGTCTTATATAAATGTCGAAAAGGAGATTAACGTTGAAGAAGGAATTCGACTTTTGTTGAAATTATACGCTTCTTCGAATAATAAACTATAGGTACTTTTAGAGCGTGTAGATAGAATGCAAGCATGGATTAAAAATATAGATACAGCATTGATAGAGGTTGAAACTAGACTCTCTGCTCTTGAAACCGATAGAGAAAAAGGTTGTGTTAAAAATAGCAAATCAAATGCAGAAATAAATGGAATAATCTATTGCTTTTAGCCCTTAATTAATATTGTTTTACACTTAGTCTAGATCAAATAGCCACACAAACATGCGGGCTTATCACACCAGTGAACGAGATTAAATTACAAAATCTTTAATGATTATTTAACACCTATAATTCCTATTTAACACTACAATAAGTTACGGCTCTTTTTGACAATTATATAACACACAACACTCAAAACGCATTACGGACCCTCTTCGGTCAGTGTTCATACATAAATATAAAATAAAAATTATAAAATTATACAAAGTATAAAAATACATTAAAAGGCCGTTGTAAATATGACAAATTCACAATTATCACAGTGATGTCTCACAAGTATAATAGTTTCAAGATCACTTTCTTAGCCTCGGGAACACTAAATACAAGAGAGGTTGCGACCGACGTTTTCATCGCGAAAACGTGAACGTCGGCCGCAACCTCTCTACAATTTTCCAAAAATTACTATTTTTATAATTAAAATATTATAAATGTATTTTACATTTATAATGGATATATACTCACAATAAACACTTCAGTTGAACTAGCTGAAACAATTTACTACACAACAGAAACACAGGTCTAATACGCACTGCCTCAGCTTGAGTGCTACGGCTAATTTGTATATTTATATACACCTCAAGTGTCACCCATTATTACGTCATTAATTATTAATTTATTTTTGTTTTTATCAATGAAATTATACCACCCTGTATCTAATTTTATTCCTAAATTGTCATTAATTCTTTTTTCTGATTTAATTTTTAAAATTTCTATATGTTCACAGTATTTTTTAAGGATTAGTTTCGTATTTTATCGCCTTTATTAAATCTTTCGTTATTTCACAGCCTTTAAAATTACAATGTTTAGCTACAGCTGAATTTTGCGTATTATATTTGATTGCATTTATATGTTCTTTTACCCGTTTCAAGAGGTCTAAAAACCTGGAGATTTTCAAAAACCTCTGAGAGTCAATCATAATTTAAGTAATACAGACGTAAAACAGAAATGAAGTTATAAATGTAATTATACTACCAGTGACGCGTAATCATTTATTACTTATACAGAAAATGTTTCATAACTTTTTTTTTGCTCTAATCTTTTCCTCCTTTCATTGCAGTTTGTTTATTGCTTAATTTATCAGTAATAATAAAATCTGCCAGAGTAAAATAATTACTACACATAAGCTTATGCTTTCAAACACGAACATTTTGAGTACAGTTAGTCACTTCTTTGCGTGAATTTTCATCTCGAAGGGAAAAACGAACGCTGATATTACTACTATTTCTTTCGCTCCGAAGAAAAATATACTGTTTTGTATTTCGGGAATTATTGTTTGCTACAGTACAACAAATGTTTTCCTCTTATCACAATATGTTGTTATGATTCCGCTAGCCGCTGCGGTTTGGCCACTAAAGATTTTATTCGTCAATAATCAAATTATACAGCCTGATTCTTACCAGGCTATAATGCTACTAATTAATTATTAAGAGGGTTTGGATATTTGTTAGAGGTTAAAAGTTAGTAATAGAAACTTACTAACTTTTTTAAGAAAAAAATCACGTATTTATCAAATGATACAGTAGTAGTAGTAGTTGAAAGGACCATGGTCGAAACACATAGGTATAGCCTGGTAAGACCAGAAGAGGAGGAAGATATAGAGTTGGTTGAGAGTAAGTTAGGGTGAAGGGGAAATAAAGTTAGATAGGATAGAAGGAAGGTAGTCAACCTGGGATCATGAGACCCCATGGGCGCCCTGCATCGGTCTTTATTAAAACAGAAAACAGATACATACAAAATAACATATAAAACAGTGGTTACAGAATTAGGCGCGACAAATGATATAAAACAAACAGATTACAAGAGATAACAGCAGGGCCATCAAAACAGAAGACTGGCCTACGGAACAATGAGGTTACAAGTACCCAGACCGATTGGCGGGTTGTACACATGGGATTACATGAATTAAACCAATATTACAAAATATAAAGCTACACTAATTTACAAAGTATAAGTGAGATACAAAATATAGAGCTGCACTATTTTACAAAGTTTAAGTGAGATATAAAATATAAAACAAATACACAAATAGCTACCTCCCCATAGGGAGACAGTCGCCCAACACAGCCAGTGAGGATTGGCGGGTTGTGCGGTACAAAAGCATGACATTATACACAGGAGTTATTATACAGCAACGAGGTGATCCTAGTACATGAGACAAGATTGTCTTAGTACACAACGTACTATTATACCTAAGAAAGGATCTTGATATCTTTGACATACTTACATAAAGCCTGATAAATATTCTTGTTCTTTATAAGGTGGTCCAATTGACACGGCCAGGCGATGTTTTCTTCCAACGTTGTCTTGATAAGGGTCCTCCTCTCCTGATCGAAAAGGGGGCAATCCAACAGAATGTGTTCACTGTCCTCCCAGGAGGCAGACGGGCAGGAACACAACCCATTACCAATGTTCAGGAAACGGAACAGATAGCTCCCCATGTTACCGTGCCCCGTAAGCAGCTGGGTAAGTTCATACGTTGGAGTAAAGTGCCGGTTGGTATTCCTCTCCTTTACAGTGGGGAAGAACTTATAAACAGTTCTACCTGTACTGCTGTTCGCCCACCTGTCGTCCCACCGGTCGATGATGTAGGTGTTCACCTGCCTAGCTACCCAGCAGTAGGGAATCTTGTCATATACAAAATTGTCCAGATTCGTGATGGCCTTCTTGGCTAACTTGTCAGCCTGCTCGTTGCCCCTCTCCCCTGTGTGACCTTTGATCCACCTGAGATCCAAGGAAGCGCACTGGGTGGAGTCCAGAGCGTAGATAATGTTTTTTATAATTGGAAGCTTAGTGTTCCTCTTTATAATCTGATGAAGCGCCACTTTACTGTCTGTATGTACGGTGACGTTAGTGTTGGTATGGCCACTATTATTGTTGTTTAGTATCAAATGATACAGCCCGATTATTATTGGGTATAACATGGCTAATTAATTAGTCCAAATTACGTAGTATCAATATGAGATAGGCTGTTCTCTAACACGGGATGGCAGCTTAATCGTCTATTTCTACTTGTAATCCAAATTTTTTAGTATCTTAAATTAACCTCTATCTCCAAGAAAAACTTAATATTAATTACTGAAATTAATTATGATTTATTCTTTAACATATTCTATCAATTTAAATGCTAAAATTCTAATGCCATCAAAGTTCCAAATATCCGAATTCAAATGCCATCAAAGTTCCAAATATCCGAATTCAAATATCCGACAGAATGTTTGGAATGAAATGGAAAATAACAAATAATTTGAAAAATTCGAAGGAAAAAGAATTTGATTCTTTTCTTAGCTCCGATGAAGAATTAGAATCGAGTACATTGCCATATTTTTCTTACACTCGAATTTATAAACAGCCATTTAACTTATCAGGCACTCACCTCGATTTACTTCTTCCCAATTATCCTCTTAAGATCAAATTTCTAACCGTAGAACGTGAAATTGAGACTCATCTCTTGCATAGAGACATTTTCTCAATAAGAGTTCGTCACGGTAACTTCCAGTGGATCGTAAAAAGAAGTTTCAACGAAATCGAAAAATTGCACAATTCTCTACAGAAATATAGTTTGGGTAATTGTGCAACGAGTATGCCTAGTTTACAAGCCAGGAAGAGTTCGATAATTCGATACGAAAACCCTGTAACCAGAAGGGAAAAGCTTCAACAATATATGAGAGCCGTCTTGATTGACCCTAACTTAAGAAACCATAGAAATACCATGGAGTTTCTTCAAATTACACCTTTGTCTTTCATACATATATTAGGACATCAAGGTAAAGAATGTTTATCCCGTGTTAATTGCATTGGTTATTCAGAAAACACCTTCTTACAACTAGGAAGCTACATCACGGGCCATTGCACAAGATGGAGGACGTTCTGGATAATAGCCAGAGAGAACTTTATTTCTTTGATAAATCCATTTAATGGTAAAATAGAGTACGTTATGCTAATCGATACAAAATTCAAAGTGCATTACGGATTCCTTAGAACGGGATTTCATTCTCATATTGTCATTAAGAATTTGTCCATGAGGTTATCAATAGATTTAGAAAACAGGAGGACGTGTAAAGAATGGATTGGTTTCTTTCAAGAGATTAAGGATGGATCTGCAAAAGACTTCATAAAAAGAAACAAATTCAAGTCATATGCACCGATCCGATATTGTACCCAAAGCTGTTGGTTTGTGGATGGTGCCAGTTACTTTGATTGTGTAGCCAATGCTCTAGAATCTGCTACAGAAGACATATTTATAGCTGGTTGGTGGGTCTCTCCAGAATTCCATCTTAAACGTCCCTCTGATGAATCAGAATGGTGGAGACTTGATAATGTGTTGAAAAGGAAGGCTGAACAGGGGATTAAAATATTTGTTCTCTTGTATAAAGAAGTGGAGGGTACTTTAAGTATTGGTAGCGCCTACAGTGAGACAGTTTTGATGCAGTTGCACAGCAATATCAAGGTTCTTCGTCATCCAACTCTTAGCGATTTGAATATTTGGCTATGGGCTCATCACGAAAAGATCATCATCATTGATCAATTGTATGCTTTTGTGGGAGGCTTGGATATTTGTTATGGTAGATGGGATAACAGAGAACATAAATTAACAGATTTTGGAACTGATACAGCCTCACACAAGAAAGATACGTCTTCTAAATATTTAGATAGCGACAGTCACAAGACTCTGACCAAAGCTGTAGCAGAATCCTTTCTTCCAGAAGAAATATCAAATTCTGAAATTTCAGAAATTTTAGATTACAGGAAGAAATATCAAATAACAAGCAAAGAATCACCAAAATGGGAAATTGGAGAAACGGAAATTAAATCCCAGAGAGTTAAACGATTCGAATTACCATTTCATAAGAAACCAATTAATAACAAATGTCCCTTACAAGATTTAAAATCAAAGAAGCTTTGGTTAGGAAAACAATACACTAATTTTGTCTATCAAGATTTGCACAGAGTACATAAACCATTTGAAGATCAGATAGATAGAAACATAATACCTCGAATGCCTTGGCACGATGTATCGTGTCTTGTAACAGGAAGTGCTGCAAGAGATGTCGCTAGACACTTCATACAACGTTGGAATAACATTAAATATTATAAATTAAGAAATAACGACGCATATCCATGGCTTCTACCAAAAGCGTACGTAGATTTAACCACAATTAAGCCCTTTCCTCAATGCCCTAAACTATATTCAGTTAATTCTCAAGTCTGTCGTAGCGCAAGTTTATGGTCGGCGGGTATTAATACCTGTGAAGAATCCATTCAAAATGCTTACATATATTGCATAACGAATGCGAAGTATTATATTTACATAGAAAACCAATTTTTTATCACTCATCCACCCGGCGATAATTATATTTACAATGGAATCTGGGAAGCAATATACAACAGGATACTTCAAGCTCTGTCTGAGAATCAAACTTTTCGGATATACGTCATGATACCATTGATGCCAGCCTTTGAAGGAGACATAATATCAGAGAAATCTATTATCTTACGCTCCGTAACCGATAATTTATATTCATCTATCTGCAAGGGCCCTACCTCTTTGCTTCAGAGGTTATGTGAATTGGTACCGGATCCAACGGAGTACATCAATTTCTTTTCACTTCGGAATTACGGTTTCATGAATGGAAAATATGTTTCCGAAATGGTATACGTCCATAGCAAACTACTAATTGCCGACGATAACACAGCAATCATTGGCTCGGCCAACATTAACGACAGAAGCCTACTTGGTAGAAGAGACAGTGAAATCGCCATTGTCTTCAATGATTATGAAACAGTTTCTTCAATAATGAACGGTGCCGAGTACAAAGCTGGAAGATTTAATATTAATTTAAGAAAAAGAATCTTCTCCGAACACCTCGGACTACCAGAAAACGACCCGCTATTGAATGATCCTATATCAGATTTTTTCTACAAACAAGTATGGTTAAAGACTGCTGTCACAAACACTGCTCTATACGAAAAAGTGTTCCAGTGTGTTCCCACGAACGAAACTACTACTTACAAGGAACTAATGGAATACACAAATCGACCAAGACTTGCTGTTACCGATATAAAACTAGCAGAAATGTTATTGCAGAAGATAAAAGGATACCTTATTTTGTTCCCTTTATACTTTTTAAGTAAAGAAAGTTTGAAACCTTCTGGGTTGAAAATACAAAGACTGTTACCAAATTCTGTTTATACATAATTTCTTTGTTTATTAATTTTACGCCATGCTTATTTCTTTGTTCTCAGGAAACCAGTAAAAGTAGTGTATAAGTGCTAAAATTAAATATAATAAATTCAAAAATTACCGAAGATTTGGGTATTCAAGGCTTGTTTAATTAATCAGAGCAGGTGTCTACCTCTCTGGATTTCTCAATAACGAGCTAGGTCGAATCCAGGACAAATATGCAAAAAAAAAAATGTCTTCTTAATACCCACAGAAGGGGTTATTTTAAAAAACGATATTTAATTATATGTATCTTTGCAACTTTTCAGGAGATGGCATCTTTATTACATTCCAGATCATGGTAATTGTTTTACATTTAATGCCCAGTGGAATTCGATGGAAAAAGAGATCATCTACGCTTACGATTCAGACATGTGGAATCCGCCAACAGGTGAGATAATACAAAATTAATGTCTTTATTCTAAGTAAAATATCCAAACTAGAATCGCTCGGTTACATTTTCTCAAGTTTTCGGAAGCGGTTAAGGCATATCGCTCTGGAATCCGGAATCCGGAATCAAATCCGGGTGCCATCCCTCACCATTGGGCCCTCATCATAAATAATTATTTCCTTTCAGAAACTACAAACATTTTTCTGGTAATTAGCAGTGGCGAGTTATAACTTCATTGGGCCCAGGCAAATTTTCATTAATGTACAATATTGACTTCAGACATTTTTTGGGAAGAATCCTCTGATATCCACATTGTGTTCAAAACTGCTTATGTAAGAAAAAAAAAACCTAAAGAACAATTTTAGATAAAAATTTTATTAAAATCAAAACAAAATTAGATGTATATTTATGTACAGTTAAATGTAATCCACAAGAAATATTCAAAGACATTTAATTGAATTAGTATGTACAGTACTTATAAACTGCATTCATTTAATACAACAAAAAACAACATTTTATAAATTTAAATAAATCCAACCACGAGTTCCGCAACTTTCATGGCTGTTAAAAAAAAATAACTATTTCAGTATATTGTATTTTTAATTATAATAAATAAAATTATGTATGGCGTCATTTGTTATGAGATTTTGTTATTAAAAAATATTTTTATTTTTTTAATTATCATAAAATGGAAAAAGACGTAATTATGAGTTTCACAAAAGAAAGAAAGAAAAGAAAAAAAATTGTAAGTGCTAATAACGAATAAAATCTTCAATAAGTCCGACCCCTTTCGAGATATGACATATGACAATAATGACATCTCTATCTCCTCACCCCTAACCTTTCACCACCGAAATTTGATAACATCAATTCCCTCATATACAAGCCACCACGACAAATTTGGTGTATTTCAGGATGGAGTAAAGATTAAGATTAAACGAAATAGACAGACATACATACGAAATTTTTTTTACCATTTTTTATATGACTTTTTTAGGTTCAGGGGGTCTCAAAACGTGGAGATTTGCAAAAAACTCTGAGGATGAAATTTGATACGATTCCAATACTTTCCCTTGTTATGTATACATAACAACCGGGAAAATAAAACACAATTCTTAACAAAACATAAAACGAATTTTAAAAAAATATCAACTACAACGAATATTTAGAAAAAAATTTTAAGATAGATTACAAGAATGAAGAAGCAAAATATAAACAAAATTTATTATTATTATATCTTCTCTTTTCCAGCTGAGAAACTGTCAATCATTTCATTATAATCAACACTATTGAAATGCATTTTTCTTGTTCAATTGAATTTCTAATATAATTTTAAATTATTTTAAGGGAACGGAACGATCGCTCTGCTGATGCATTGGAAACAGAAATTGACAAACATATAGGCCTATATAACTATCTTCCGGGAGGCAACCTGTCAAGAAGATGCCTCCTGGAAGGGAAAACTGGTCCTTATTCATTGGTGTTAAACACACAAAAAAATCCGGAAAACTCTACGTGGCCAACCCACTGGTCCGGCGCGAACCCGCGACCAACTACTGGTGTTTGGCGGTTTTATCCATTCGGCCAGACGCTATTAGTTTATGAGGTCGCAAAATCGTGTAGAACGGTCCAAGGTCTTAATCCACCACTGATATCGTTTTGTATTCCACACTTGCCTCCGTTTTAGTATTAGTATTTAATAAAATTTATGATAATTTATATTGTGTGTAGCTCCCTTAAAACAGCTAGGTCCTTATATTTCGAACACTTTTTGCCCTCTGCAGTCCTTTTTACAAATTCTTTTCTCCGGGTCCTATAGTTTTACTACTACGTTTAATACAGTATTCGTTCATTATTTTACAAAGCATAGTTTCCTACTACACCTACAATCATACTTATTCTGTATTAAACGGTTGAAATAATATCAATAAAATGCAAAATCTTGGTTTGATATCATGCTCATTAATTATAAATTGCAGAATTAATATTGGATATCAATGTGCAATACGACGAATATCTGGATGAAGAAAGGTCGGCAGCAGTCCTAGTCACATTTCACACGCCAGATTCTTATCCGGATCCCACTTCAGAAACGGTAACTGCCAGAGCTGGACATCAATATAACTTTGGGATGAGACAGGTAAATGAAGACATCCAAGCCTTTAACCTTAAAAAATTAAATGAGTGTTTTTTGTAGACCACTACGATACTGTTACCGTTACCGTACCAAACAAACTGTACCGACTACAGTAATTTGCCTTGGGCCAAACACTATAAAGGAATACCTCATCCAAAAGTAAGCTGTTATTCTATTTTTTTTTTCGTTAAAATGCTATTCTTTGCATAGAATTTTGAAGAAACGTCACTTATAGATCTGCACTCAGGAATGTTCCAGAAGTTTTCAATTAAACAAATGTAATTGCATCTCTGCAAACTTGTCAAGATTATATGAAGATGCTCCTTGCGAAGCGGAAAGAGGTACGAAACTTGCTTTATTTGCCGTATTTTCTTACGAATACCCCCAGGAAATTGACAGAAAAATGAACCTTCGCATAACCCACGCCTACGAAAGCGGTCGTTGTTCCCTCAACGAAACTCCATAATTGCAATTTAAAATCGATACAACCCGCGGGTAATCCGTACGAAAGTGCGGTAGATAATATATTAAATATATTGTAATTGAAAAGTGCGCATTAATTCCAAAACATTTAGGATTCTGTGCGGACGAAGTAGAAGAGAGAACGATGGATTACTGTCGAAGTCTTTGTAGAGTTCCTTGCGTGTAAGATCTTTATTCTTCGAAAATGATATAAGCTGAAGAAAAATCTAATAGTTTCAATATTTTAAATTCAGGAGAAAATCCTACGAAGCATCTTCAGACTCCGCTTCTTGGCCTAAAAAAAATAAAGTATGTTTCTACTTGGTATCGGCCCGCATCAAAAATCTTTATGTTAAATATAAAACACAACAAATTGTAAAAATTTACTGTTAAAAATAATTTTTCAACAGATGATTTTCTTAAAAGAGTGGGCCAATCGAACTATCGAAGAAGCCAAGTAAGTAACACTTACTTTTTCCAAACTAAACTACAAATACCGTATTTTTGTGCCGATAACCTGCAGGTTGTGCGTGTTCAAAAGTTGGAAAGTGCTGAGGGTTATAATTCAATTTTTAAGTTTTAATCGCAAACTGATGATTTTAAGAGCAATGGCTTCGCCCTCAGGTACTCAGGTGCAGATTAGGCGAAGCATTTTGCTCTCGCAATTTGCTGCAGGGTATGCACAAAAATACGGTAATTACACATTGTTAGTCATCAAGTGCTTAAAATTTTTCAGAAAAAATTTAATTCGAATTAAAATATTTCTTCGAACAATGGAACATACCATTTACGAACATTTTCCGAAATATGCGGCAAGTATATCCGCCAGTTTTAAAATTAATCTATTTATATTTAGAGTGACTTGTACTTTTTATTTCTAGTCTGTAGAGATTTTCAGTCATCTCGGAGGATACATAAGCCTTTGGCTGGGATTTTCGGTGCTTGCTGTATGGGAAATTATGGAAATGTGCATGAAAATCATTTACAAAAGTTACTATAACTAAATTACTTTAATGCGATTCATGACAATGCGCTTCTATTAAGTCAATTAGGTTTGAATGATCATTAATTAAAATTGTTAATAGGGATATTATACTGTAATATGAAAAAATATTTGATACAGTAGACCCCCCTATAACGCTTAGATACGTTCCACGTTATTCGAATTTTACGTTGTAGGAATCACTAAATACATGAGCCAATCGCAGCCCGACACGTGTGAAGTTTACAGACTAAGGCTGTTTGAAAGGTTTTCTTCTATAAAATTAACCGATTCTAGACTAATTCCACTCAACATTTCCAAAACACGTATAATTTTTTGGGAATAATCTGTATAAACTATGCTATAAACAAAAAATTATAGGATTACTTACCGAGTGTGCACCGTTCGACTACGCCGTTGCTCAAGCTTGTTTTCGTCGCGGAACAGCGCACGAAACGGCAGCCGCGATTTCTGATAACGAATTTTTCGCAGAAAAATAACTTGACCTTTGGAGACATCATTAATATAAATAATCTTTATAGCCGTTGAATAAGAAATGTTTCTTTCACAAGAAATGTATAAAATTAGTGCTGTATTAGACTTACAGTACTTAATTTACATACTGTACAGACGATAATAAACTCAACTTACTAGCCTAAACTCTCCGTTAGCCTGGCGATAGACGGCAGAAGTTATATATATAATTATAATAAAGTTACAATAAATTAAGTTAATATATAATTATATATACATATATAATATATAATTTATATAAAGTTAATATATAATTATATATACAGTACCTAATTTATATATAATGCTGTACAGACGATAGCAAACTCAATTTAGCCGCCTAAACTCTCCGTAGCGTGGCGCTGGGGGCGGAAAGTAGTTTGGCTGCTCGTCCAGTATTGGTCCAGATTCGACCAATCTTGTCGCGACAGGAGTCGGCTACGACGTATTGCGAGTCACTTTATACGAATACTGCTACAATTTTTTCGCTACGTTATAGGAATTTCCGTTATAGGAACCCACGTTATAGGCGGGTCGACTGTATTTGCTGTAAAGTAGTGCCGTTTGGTTAATTTGGATGGTTACAGTAGACCCCCCATAATTCAGTATTATATAAATTCCATGTTGTACAAGTCACTTAGATTTTATAAATACGTGAGCCGTTCACAGCCCGGCATACGTACAGTATTTGTAAAATAATTGAATCTAAGTGACTCATGCAACATGGAATTTATATAATACGGAATTATCAAGTGTTATAGGGGGGTCTACTGTATTTGGTATATAAGCATAAAGGGAGCATAAGTCAAGAATTTCTAGTTGATACTGATGTAAGTTAACCTAAGGACGCATTTATACAGACACGAAAAATGCGAGGGAAAACAAGCGAACAAAGATTACGCGTCTACAGAAATACTCTCCTTGTTTCTAAAGTTTATGCAAAAGCCAGAAGGGAGTCCAATGAATTTTACTACGAAGTTAAAGAAAAATAAACGCAACTACTCTATTAACATTTCCTTTCTTTTACTTACGTCCTCCGTCTTTTCGCGACTTTCTTGGCAATTTTTTCCACCTTCAACAGATTGCAGGCGTGCTCCATCGTCGCCATTTTATTGATGTCGTTGCGCGGAAGCGAGATTGCTGAACTACCGCGCAAGGACATCAAAAAAATGGCAATGACGGAGCACGCCTGCAATCTGGTTTCGTTTGGTTTTCCCTCTTCTGTTTATCTCTCTATTCTTGCATTTCTCATATCTGCATACTCACAGCCTTAGTAAGATAAATAAATTAAAGGATTTTAATCATGGAGGGATGTTGAAATCATTGATTCAGCATTTGTAAAAAACGAAGTATTCTAGAATATATAGCGTACCCTAATAATGTAATGATTCTTTAAGACAAATTTTCTATTATACATAATTTTAACAGAGATAAAATACTTGTATTTTAGACCACCTACGAAAATAGAGAAATCCAATGTGAAGATTCTCTGTGAATTTTGGCAATTTGATGTTTTCTTGCTAATTTTTAGATTAAGTTCCAATTGGGCTTAATAAATTTTTAATGTTAATGGCAAATGTTGAAGTTTGTCAATATTAATTTCACATAAATTTAATTACTTATGCGTAAAGTTTGTGTAGGTAATTGTAATATCGAATCGACACATTATTATTAATGTTTCATCCTCGATAACTCGTGCTTTGTGCAAATTCCGCATACCCTATTCTTTTTTACATAAACTGACTGTTTGGACACGGTAGCAATCTCGTTTTCCTGAAACTTAAAACATGCGGTTAAATGTCGATATGTACTGCGATACGCTGAAAAAGTGGAAAGGACACACAGTAGTATCTTTAGCAGTGATCATTACACGACTAACAATGGCCTAATTGCACAAGGGGAGGCAGAGTTAGAAAAGTTTTGCAGAAAATGTATTATTCCCTATTTAATTTGGTTTTAACATTAACAATTTTTATCTTTCTTCAGTCTTCAATCGATACTTATTGTTTTACGTATGTCGCGTCAGGCCGATTCTTGTCTCGTATGATAATTAATTAATTTTCGTAAGTCTCACCTGACCGTCTTGTTCGTACACCAGGTTCCCGTCGTATCTCCAACTAAGAAAAGTTCACCAAGTCCGTCCTTTAGATTTTATTCACATAAAAAAAACCAACAAATCGACTATATACAATAATTCGATAGGAAGAGCAGAGCATCCCGCTATGTTCTCGCACCCCTTTTGGAACTTAACACCCCCGTCTTGTGTTTCCAACTCTCTTCAATCATATTTTTAAACATTAACTTTTAATAGTAAAAAAACCATTAAAACTGCCCGCCATCTAGCGGGATGGACGGGTCATCCTCCCACCTTTGATTTTGTCAGTCAAAATCAAATCAAACTTAAATCTAAAATTAAACCCGACAAAACACATACAGTATAAATTGAATGAGTTCGAATCAGTTTATAGATTTAACCGATTGAGAGTCTTTAGGGGTCTGCCCCTTTTGAGACTCGATAATTCTCAGATGAGTTTGTCACAGCACTTCCTGCAGCGGCAGAGGTCATTCGGGACTGATCATAGGTCCCCTCGCGATCGTTTTCAGTAGGGTCTGCAGTCTTGCCACGAAATTCGTTTCGCATAGCATGCTTTTCATCCCCCGAAGAAATTTCCAAGGGATACAATCTCCAAACAGGACGGATGAGAAATCCAACCTGTGTTTTTATTTTGGCTACTCTTACCAATCCATCTTTACCTGGATAGATCTCGACAACTTTCGCCACAGGCCAATCAAGTCGTTTTTGGTTGTCATGTCCAACCAAGACGATATCTCCTACAGCAATCACTTTAGTGCCCTTGGCCATCCCCCTCGGGTTTTGCAATTGCGCCAGGTACTCAATTCGAAATCTATTTCGTAAATCTTTTCTCAACTTGCATAAATAACGGAATCTCTTCCCAAGATTGACCTTTTCCATATGGTCTAAATCGGGAAGTCCAGTTTCCTTTACTCCTTGCAGAAACATATTAGGAGTCAAAGGAATTAAATCTTCAGTGTCTTCCGAGAGAGTAGTAAGTGGTCGAGAGTTCATCAAACCCTCTACCTCACAGATAATTGTGTAGAGTTCTTCGTAAGTTAACGAAGCTCGTCCCAAAATTCTCCCCATAATCTGCTTTACACATCCTACAAACCTTTCCCACCAGCCACCCCACCATGGCGAAGCTGGAGGAATGAACTTCCAGGTAATGTCCTGAACAAGAATTTCATCTTTAATCTTTGTAAGTTCAGCCTCAGAGAAAATTTTGGCGGAACCGACAAAATTTGTACCGTTATCACTATAAATAACAGAAGGGCATCCTCTTCTTGCCACAAATCGTCTGAATGTTTGCAGGAACGCCTTCGTTGACAGAGACGTCAACAACTCGAGATACAAAGCTCTGTACACTGCAAAAGGTATACAGGACAATCCAACACTTCTGCTTATCCCTCAAGTACAGTGGACCAGCTAGATCAACGCCAATAACCTCGAATGGCGCAGCATCTCTTATGCGATCCACAGGCAATGGAGGAGATTCAGGGTGGACTGGAGACACAGCAAATCTTCGACACCTAGAGCATCGCATTGTGATAAGCCGGATATATTTTCTGCATTTTAGTATCCAGTATTTCTCAGGCATATGATTCATTAAAATTTGAACACCAGCGTGGTTTAATTCTCTGTGTTTCCACTCTATTAGTTTCTGTACAATATAGTGATTCCCAGGCAAGATAATGGGTAAACGGAAATCTTCACTATCTTTACTTCTGAACACGAGAGTCTTTACTCTCAAAAGGCCTTCCTTGTTCATCACCGGGTGTAATTTTGGCAAACGATTATTTTTTCCCTTTGGAAATTCTTCTCTTTGAATCAGTTTCAATAACACTAATTCAGTGTGCCTTATTTCCTTTACTGTAAGCCCTCCAGACATTCTAACAGATTGTCCCTTCAGATTTGAGACAAACCGGTATATCCAAGCCGTTATTCGTAATATTTTCCAGTAAGTGGAATAATTCTCATAAAACTTTTCTGCTTTCTCTACATCCAGCGCAGAAATCACAGATTTTTTCCTTTCAGAGCTCACTATCTCCATGTTCGGCATTTCTTTCTGCCGAGGCCATTCTTCTACCGGCAAGCTTGGAAATTGAAGTGTCTCCCACCAGTACGATTCGGCCAAAATTCTTGCATTACAACCCCGTGATGGGAGGTCTGCGGGGTTTAATTGCCCTGGCACATGATTCCAGTCATCTGGACTACTTAAAGATCTAATTTCATTTACTCTATTTATAACAAACGTAGCCCAACATTCCTGATTCTTGATCCAATATAAAACATTCATGGAATCAGTCCAATAAAGAGTTGAGATTCGTTCAAGTGGAAAGTCCCCTTTAATAGAGTTCATCATTCTGACACCTAATAAGCAGGCTAAAAGTTCAAGCCTAGAAATCGATATGGACTTCAGAGGAACAACACGAGTAGGAGCCTGGATCAACCACCATTTTACGTTGCAAGCATCTTGCTGTCTGAGATAGATACAAGCGACATAAGAGTACTGGATGAGGAAACAAATGTTTCCTCATCCAGGATATTATGTTGAAACATTATACAGTGGTACCTCGTACTTCGAACTGCACGCACAGTGAAACAATGAGCTCGAAGCGTAAACTCAAGTCGCTCTTGCGTTATAATCATGTTTTCAACCATAAGACACGTTCGAGGTCTATGAGCATATTCCTCACGCACATTACGATTTCTTACCATTTGTACGGCATTATATCGTTTCTGAAATTCAGAGAGTAACACGCCGAATATGCTTTTTATCGGAAGACATTTCAACTTGACTTTATTTAAACAAAATATGACGTAAAATGTTTATTCTTTGTTTGGCTTATTTCAATCTCACATAAGAAATAATGCGTTAAATTCGTATGCGATTTAATTTTATGTTATGTTCAGTAACAACAGCAGTTAAAATTAACCAAAAAAACTTTGTTCCACCTAATACAACCTTTAATTATTAACCATGGCTTCCGAGAAGTGTATGGAAACAACGAAGTCTAAAGAGGAAGGTGTAACATCGATGATTGAGGCGAAAACCTAACTAATTGCGAATTGTGATAGTAGTGCCGGGTGGCGGATCTGCGACCATGTTTAAGATGCCGAAGTCGACGGTGTGCAACCAGTTAACGCAATTTTCATTTCAATATGTGATATTTACGTTTTTATTGTTTTAATTCATTATTAGAACATTTTATTATGTTATTGACAAGACTATGTCTTGTTTATAAAATCGTACAGCCTGCTGGGTATGAAAGAGTACATGACAGGAGTTGCAATTTGGCAGAGTATTAAATGCCCAAATCATGCTCGCATAAAAGAAACCAGACTTGTAGGTACTTGAGGGACCGAGAACCGAGTCAAAATAAAATTCAAAATGGACTCTCTACAAACAGGTAGTAGTGCGAGATTTGCGCATGCGTTAAGCTCGAAATGCGAATGTTGCGAAATTCAATTTTTACAAACGAATCTTTGAAAAAACCTATTTACCCGTCCCGTATTATTCCCCACATCTCTAGTCGCAACGTGCTGACCTTGACCGGTTGAACCAAGATATTTCGTTTTAGCATCGAAACCTCTCTTCAACGATAGCGCTAGTCGTTATAATTTTATATTAAAACTAACTTCCGAAATATTTGTTTTTTTCTGCATTTATTAATATATATATAGTTTGTGCAAAATACAAAAATAATTTCGGACGATACAATAGCCACGATTTTTTTTTTCAAAAATGGGAAATTTTCGTTGGGCATCGACAAAAATTCAACTCGGGGCGACACGCAACAGAGAGAAGTTTCGAAATTGGATAGGTTAATTTCACCGAAAGTGCATCGTGGACGACCTCGTGGTCGTGGCTGGCGAAGTTTGAAAGATCGCGCTCAAAACCAGCGATATCAAAGAAGATTGGAGAATGAGAACGAGACCCGCCTTGAGCGTCCAAGTGATTCCGTCTCCGAGACAGTCTTGTCCCAAATACGGCCTTGCCGTTTTACTTGTTTTTTTTACCTTAAATTATGTCCATTTGTTAAGTTTATCGAAATGGATATTTTAGCGTCTGAGGATGAATTAATTCGCTTTCCATTATTTCTAATGGGAAAAATTGATTCGGACTTTGAATGGCCTCCCGCAATGAATTAAATTCGAAGTCCGAGGCACCACTGTATTAGTAACTGTTTTATTGTATATTGTTACTTTGTGAAAATCTTACCTTTGGTTTATGAGTACTGTAAACTTAACCTTCACAAAACAGTTGGAAATAATTCCATTCAAACTCTTTAACGACGAACTGGCCTTTAAAAGCAACTATGGACAATAAACTAATTTAAAATTCACATGAAGAAACACAAGGTCCCATATTTCATACTGCAAAGTTCATACTTGTCCCCCCACCAAGGGAACGCATTAAACATATTGAGGCATGGAAGGACCTGAAAATAAAGGACGACCTTCACCGCGTGCATTTCGCCACAGTATGAGAAGAATGTGAAGACCTGGTATTTCTACAGGCAAGTTTTAAATAACCAGCTTCTTCGTTGCAATTTTTATTAAATTTATTACTCTGAAAATCTGAAATGTTAAACAATGAACATGGAATTACTATATGAAAAGAGATTATAAATACTATTTCAGAAAAAATGTTTATTTTGACTTTACACAAACTTTTTTAAATTGCATTTCGGCAATAAAACGTTTGGTAGTTTTGTTTTTGTATACATTCGTGAAATATTGCCGTCAGACAACTTCGCGTACATTGTTTTTTCCTTATAAGAAGCTATACATATCATACAATATTTTTTCATGCAAATACATCGTTTCCTGGATTCCTTCGTCTAAATATATATTTATTTATATAGTAAATTATGATAAAGAATTAGGCAAAATAATAAACTATTGACCGAATATTTACGAATGGTATACGAGGAATTCTACGAAATTAGACGGAGAAACGAGAAGAAAAATATACACGTGTACATAATTTTTCTGAAAACTTTTTATATATATGTAAAAAAAGCAGCATAATTTAAATGCAGACATATATTCAATCAATAAATTCTTCAGGTATTTGCACAACATTGATCAATAATTTCACTGATAATGAAATAGCTAATAAATTATTTCATTATAGATGAAAAAATTTGGACAGATTTCTATGTCATGCCAGCAAAGACACTGAAGAGTTGATGGTGGATGGAATGTTTAAATTAATTTAGCTCGAGAATTCCTTTTAATTACAGTTAAATTATTTAACATTACATAAATTATAGTTATTACTCTTCAAAACCTGTTACAGTTAAATTAACTAATTTTTTTTTCAAAAATAATAATTTAATTAAATTTCGTTTGGTGAAATCACAAACTGGAATAATTATTTGGATTAATTACGTATACATACGACATTTATATATATTACATAATTAATATATATAAAATAATTTTTTTCTTTAGTAATTAAACACATCCTGCATAAATTTTTTTTTTAATTCTTGGGATTTCATTTGGAATAAGAATCTTTCAAATACAAATATCTTACTATGATGTTTAATCCCCTTTAAAATAGTGCTGACCAAATGGGAATTCGACTGAATGGCTATTAACAACAAGATGGAGGAAAAAATATTTCAGTCCCTGAAATTAAAAGATTAATTTCATTAATTTTAAAAAAATACGTGAACAGATTATTGATTTCTGAATAATTTTCATTCAAATTCATATATATTTTAAAAAGATCTTAAGTTATTAATCAAAAAGATGTATATTTAAATCTCAAAAAAACTTTGTTTAGCATCAGTGGCATATGAATGACCCTGATGCTAAACAAAGGGAAATGTCACTCATATTGTACTGTGCCACGCTAACCAGGTTACATGTAATTGGTCAAAAAGGTTTCATTTATAATTACCAATTTTAAGAAATAAAGTTGATCAGTCAAACAAACCAATGTTTGGTAAAAGTCGAGATATTTTCAACTCCCAACAAACTAGTGGAAACTGCTAGTCGGTGACCATTTTATCTACTTTGCAATGGTTTTTATACTAATGTGAACATAGCTTTAGTCTTTTAAGTAATTAAAATGGATTTTAGTTAGTAATTAACTTTATCAAGTAAATTTAAATTAACATTTAACCCTCAAGTCTGAAGTAAATGAATGTCAAATACTTATGCATTTCTTGTGATACTTGGCAGTACAGTAACAAGCCAAGATGATCCACAATACTACCAAGTCTACTTTTTGCATGTAGACTTTCATTGATCATATGAAGATTTTTAAAAATTAATGCAATAATAACACAAATCTGATTTCACTATCCATCTATCAAACTATGAATCTGATATTACTATTTAAACATTGACAGGTCACAGACTTTTTTCTGACTCAAGTGCTTAATTTTCAATAAAACTTGGAAGAGAAACTGTCAGTAACATGAAGCAATTAACAGAATGATCAGAGGATCTAAAGCCTGACAGTGAGTCTGCTAAATTATTAGCATTATAAGGTAAGAATTTAGTTTGACTTGAATTTAAAAATTGCAATTTATTCACTCCACATTGCTGTAATGGTAATGATGAGCAAAACCTTGATAAACTTCATTTAAGTACACAGAAAGCTGCTTTACAATTGTTTGTGATAAACCAGAACTAAAATGGAGTAAAATAATGTCAATAACTGAACTTGCTTGTTTTGGTTTCCAATTATAATTTGACCTATTGTAATATTTCAATATTTATAGGGGGATAGGAGGCATTACTCAGTGGTATATCCTCAAAGAGATGAAAAGAAGTAAGAAGGGTTAGTTGGAGGGAAAGTCTGTTGTGGCAGGGCCGAAGGTGGGTGGAAAGTGGAAGAGAAGTGAAAGGGGAGGTCAAGAGCCGCACAGGAACATTATTTAAATTTAGGTTTACATATGGAAATAATATTTACAAAAGAAAACAAGAGAGGCACAGATTTTTAGGTCCATACATAAAAACGCAACTATAAGTTCCTTAACACAAAGTAGACATTACCTGGCATAGTACCATAAAATTAACATTCTTGATATCAAAATGGTGAATATTATAATTAGGCGTACAGGAAATACTGCTTGGCGGATAGAGTTATAACTCAACTACACACAAGTAGCTATACCTAACACATGTTAAATGCATGTTGAACTAGATGACAATGTTCTTACTCATTGTCGTGTTGCAGGTCCTGAGCCTTTGTTGACTCGACAAAGTTTATAAGTGCGTTAAAGATCTGATTTCTAACTAAGACGTGGTTGCAAGGCCAATTGTATCCCTCCTGTAACACTGTCCTGAGTAGATTCGTCCTATGTTGGGTGTATTGGTTGCAGTCGAATATGAGATGCTGTGCATCTTGTTGCAAAGTCCCATTGCACTGACAATGCGGGGAGTTCCTGTGCCCAAATCTGTTTAGGTAGGCCAGGAAATTCCCGTGATTGGTGAACAATTGAGTAGTTCTAAAGTTAATGCTGAGGTGTTGAAGCTGTAGCTGCTGTGCAATGTCTGGAAAGAAGCTGAAGGTTGTCCTTCCTGTCTCTTCCTCTTCCCAGCTGCGCTGCCATATGTTGATCATAGTGCTCCAGATGAGTTTCTTGGTTGCCACCATCGGAATGTCTTCAAAGGCAATGTCAGTAGTACTCGAGGAGACCTCTCTAGCAAAGCGATCAGCCTCCTCGTTACCAGTGTCACCAGAATGGGCCCGTGTCCACATGAAATTTATGAGGCTGGTGCTACCAGTTAGCTCCTGAATGATCATCTGTTGAATGTTGCCATCCAGCTTACCACTGGATATGCTTTGGAGAGCAGTTCTACTGTCCAAGCAGATATAGAAGTTTTTGCCCTTGAGCTTAGTACTCGTATTAATGTACTTGAGGGCTCTGTAAATGGCATACAGTTCAGCCTGAGTGATGGAGCAGAATCCTGCCAGGTGGTGAGATTCTATAATAACAAGACTGCTGACAGTTTCATTACAATAGGTCAAATTATAATTGTTAGCAGTCACTATGCTGACTACTGATTAGTGAGACTACTGCCTTTGATATTGCATGGATTACCATGAGCAGCCAGCTAGAAAGCTTGCCTATTGTCCACACAACTGTAACTCTAACTCCTGCATACAAAATAACATTCTTGAACACATCAACGACAAAGAGGATGCTGCCATTATTTGCATGAAAACTAGTGTTGCAACGAACAGTATATTCAGCCTCTGGCCAAATACCGAATACTCGGCCAGGAGCATGTCCAAATAGCTGAATATTCAGCCAAACTATTCGGCTTGATTAATGCACGTATGAAAATTGGTGCGCAAATTGCATTATGGCAAGGACCTGCTCTATATTGGCCCGCTGTCACCACGCTTCACCCATTGCTTGACAGTTGTAGCAGACAGACGTCATGGTAGCGTCATGGCAGTATGTGATAAATTATGATATCAAATGTGAATAGCAATGAAATGACATACATGTGTAAATAATGGAAAAAAGAACAGAGAAGGACCGCGAAGTGAAAATGTGAAAATAAATATGAAATTGAGTTGATAACATAATGAAACAAAGTCAGGCAGCTTACTAGCGTGAAATTCACGGCCGTCAATGCCAAACAATTGTTGTTATAGACTTCGGAAAGCTAAATGCTTGTAATGACTTACATGCATAACTTAGCATGCACGGGCGAAAGCCTGGGACCGTTCAGGCTACAAAGCTGTCTCAAATCTGTGACATATACTGACGTCCTCTCTGTCTCTTTTCTCCGTTATCATTAGGCTATGAGTCACGTAATTATAAAATGGAAAAACTACAATGGAAAAATGACGAATTGAAAGTATCATGAACGCGTATTATGATGTATGCATAGGCATACATAGACTAGAGATGGAGGAAAGAGAAAGGAAAGAGCAAAGACAAGCGCTTAAAAAGGATAGGCAGGGTCAGACCCTGAGGTGTGTGTGACGATTCTCGAACGAATAAGGTGTGTATGTGTGCTGATCTTTGTAATTATAAATTGTGAGTACATGTGACTAATATTATTTTTTTTTTATTTTGTGCATGTTATAAGTTATAAATAAATATAAACAAACAACACTAACCCGCTAATATTAAATCTGAATACCAAAATGATTAATTTACTGTGTTTTTGTTATTTCTTACTCCTGTTTTTAGGTATTTGGTATTCAGCCGAATAGTGATTAAATATTCGGTATAATTACACTACTCATACACCTTATATAATACAGCCAAATTTATTATAACACTTCAAACGTTTTCGGACATCTTTAATGCCCTTTTTCAAGAACGAACCAACGAAAATCGAATCTTAAACAAACTCTTATTGCGCAGAATCGTGCCGTTTGTTTACCGTTAANAAAGCATGCATAGGAAAGGTGCAATCGGGCTACACGTGCATTATTATTAGTGATTTTATGGTTATATTTAGCATTGTTGTCTTTATTTATGTTAGGTTCATATATGTATGGTTGATGTATCGTATTAGTGGTTATTGGTAGTATTCTTTATTTTTAACGGTAAACAAACGGCACGATTCTGCGCAATAAGAGTTTGTTTAAGATTCGATTTTCGTTGGTTCGTTCTTGAAAAAGGGCATTAAAGATGTCCGAAAACGTTTGAAGTGTTATAATAAATTTGGCTGTATTATATAAGGTGTATGAGTAGTGAAATTATTACGATATACAGTCTACGAAGAGATTGAATATTCGGTATTTGGCCAAATAGCGAAAAATAGGCCGAATACCGAATAGTAACCGAATATTCATTACATCATTAGTGGAAACCAGTGACTGTTTGTAGCTGACAATTTTTTATGCTATTTTGATAATATGAATCTTACCTTAACAACACATCAATCCTTTCAAATGACACACAAATATGCATAGCCATTAGTAAATGCATCAACCTAACTTCTCCAGCCTAATAGTATATACATAATACTTCTGAATAGGCATATACATCAAGTTGAAGGTCAGAACACTAAAGCAAGCCCACCAATCATCAAACATTCTTTCTGACTTGAAAACATAAATTGATTAATAGCAGTAAAAATAAAATATCAATGACATTAAACAAGCTAGATCCCTGGCACAGTGGAATGATGAGAGAACAATATGAGAAATCAAAGGGTAAATGGACAGTGTTACAAGAGGATGGTTAAAGAGTGGCCTCAAGTCTATTTCAACTTGGCACAAATGTCAAATGGAGACCCTTTCTGACACATAATTCATTGTGATTTCCATTGACCATATTGGACATTTCAGACAGGGATATCAATACATCATTTTTACAGCATATCACACTACAAGATTTCTCACAACTGAAACTCAGAGAACACCCAACTCAAATGGCAACAAAGATTTAACCTTTGTTGCCATTTCAGTTGGGTGTTCAAACCAAATCCTTTTCTCTTTTGAAGTACCATAGAAAAATCATTCTAAATAATCCAACAGTCTTCAAATTAAAACCATTGCCAAATTGTGTAAAGAATATGACATATGGCCTGAACACACACTCTCCTATTCTGCTCAATCAAACAGACTTGTCAAAACACACATCAGAAGACTAGAATCAGTTCTACAGAAAACATTAGAAGGAAAAACTGAGTGGCAAAAATACCTACAAATGGTTGTATTATGCTGGAATCGTGCAGACATAAAGAAAGCAAATTCTCCCTATGTAACTTGTACATGACTATTAACTAGATATTATGACAGAGATAAAGCTGAATTTAGTTGAAGATGAATGACTTGATTTAAACAAGGCTCTAAGGAGACAGTCAAGAAAAAATATGAATGTTGGAGTCATGAAGACCAAAGAAATGGTGAACTGACATATTTTAGATTCCAGCTTTAAGTTTGGAGACCTTTGTATTCTTGAACCAATGTATGAAGGATGACATGCCTGGATGGCAACATTGTTCACATGCCAGGTAACTGTGAAGAAAGTCAAATCCTGTTGAGTTCTGCACCAGCTGAAGCAAAGCTGAACAATTTTAAAGACCAGCAAAGATCCTTAAAATTAAGTACTCTGAGTATAAAATTGTTCATTCAATTTCTTTTGTTTTAATTGATCTGTTTTAAGTAAAATTTTTATGTATTTTATATTATATTAGGAGGTGGTATTTCATTAACTCTCTTTTTTGTATCAAGAGGAGCACAGAGAAGAAGAGTTATGTTTTGATTTTTTTCTACCCAAGATAAATATTTGATTTTTGTCAAAATTTGAAAGAGAAATTATCAATAACAAACAAATTACTGATAAAGGAAAAACAAAATTTTAAAGTTAAATGACATATATCTTCCATGGTTATAATTATAATCTTATTTTTCTGTTATGTCTCATGGTCTTAACAAAAAATAATATATCCTTTAATAAAATCTATTGTGATGCTTTTGTATTGTAGATCAGATATAGGAATGTGCAAATGTTCATTTCATGTTGCATTCCTTTTGGAAGACAGCTTTGACATTATTGCATCAAATATCAAAATTAATGAAACTGATAAGTATGATGATTTAGTGTAATTATTTCTTTGCAAATTTCTAAACACTGTTTGGATTTATTTCTATATTTACATGTAATAATTTATTAAATTAATAAAATCCCCCATTAAAAATTTGAATCTGACAAAATATTAAGACACCAGTTTCTGTGCATCTATATATATAAAACTCAAAGGTAACTGACATAGTGATCTATCAACGCACAGCCCAAACCACTGGACGGATCGGGCTGAAATTTGGCATGCAGGTAGATGTTATGACGTAGGCATCCGCTAAGAAAGGATTTTGATCAATTCTACCCCCAAGGGGATAAAATAGGGGATGAAAGTTTGTATGAAACTTTGTCAATTTTAAACCGATCGGGCTGAGACTTTGCATGCATAAAGCTACTATGACGTAGGCATCCCCTAAGAAAGGATTTTGATAAATTCCACCCCTAAGGGGATAAAATAGGGGATGAAAGTTTGTATAAATCTTCTTAGATTTTCGACTGATTGAACTGAAATTAAAGATTGGAGCTACTATGATGAAGACGTCCGCTTAAATAGGATTTTGATAAATTCAACCCCCATGGGGATAAAATAAGGGATGATGGAGGATGTAAATGTATTAGTTTGAACCTATCAGTACCTAATGGAACGAATAAATTAAGACGAACAAAATAATTTTTAGTTCTAAATGTTGACAATAGATGGCATTAGTAATATTTTAAAACGCGCTATCGTTGTGTTTTCACTGAGTTACATATACCCGATGATGAGTGGCCGCCGTATCTAATAGTACATACTATACCTAAATATTTCTAGCGGATTATATTTGACGGGGGTTAATTAGCTATAGTTTTTGCGGGGATTATATTGTACCCTTTGTACATAGTTGTACAAAGAAGTTTTGTAGGCCCTAATTTTTTACACACACTAAACGAAAGTAAAGCCGCAAATACTATACCTAATTAATAATAATTCTTCTTAACGCGAGCGAAGCCGCGGGCAAAAGCTAGTCATCAGATAAAAATGGTTAACTAGCTTCATCCAGGTCCCAAGGGTGTTGGGTTAAAGGTATTTAACTTAATAACATTCTCATTTCTGCTAATATACTTATAAATTGTAAAAAATAATTTCCTGTTAGATTTTCAACATAATTATAAATATATAGAATTTCTTACTTGGTATATATCACTATAATAGTGATGAGAATGGCGAGAACTATGACACCAAACACCAGTAAACAACACTTTTTGCGGCGTGCCTTACTCTGAAAAAATATCAAACTTAATATATACATACAGTCTGATTATTAATAAATAATAAATTAATATATTTAAGTGTTATTTTTAAATATTTCCACATAGCATTTTATGGTTTGTCTACAAAATTCAAAGCAAGTTTCACAGTTATATATGGTTTGGCAAAAAATATTTTGCTGAAAATATAGTTTGAGTGTATATATGTTATATACATTATGCTCAAAGACTAAAAACATTCATTGAGTAAAAAAAATCAACCACAATGCATTCCGACTTCTCAAATCAACCATAATGCAAATTTTGTATTGTGGCACTTTCACAAATTGATAATTATACCAAAAATGAACAGTTGGCATCATTAATCTTATGTCAAGCAATAAATTTCTAAGATAGAAACTTTTATTTATCATTGTTTTTTACTAATATTAATTAATATAAAAATTTGTTTGGAGTTGTTCTCTTTGTGGGAGTGTCATTATTGAAAACAAATTTCAATAAATTGACAATGTGATTTATAAATAAATTTGATTATTTAACTTAAATCTTTAATACTTTTTTGGATACTTTATCTAAAATTTTCAGGTGTCATATACAGTATTAAAAACCATAAACAAAACAATTCTCAATGTAGATTAGAATTTGATTTCATTCTAAATAATAAAGAAATTTGTTAATTAATTTTGTACTGATATTTTTATCACACTGAGTCAGGACTGCATTAATAAACATCCACAATATTTTGTGGCATTTTCATATTGCCAGATTGCATTTTGGTTGATTATTAAAAATTCTCAACACAAATATCACTTTATGGTCTTACTGTGTATGCTAAAACACATTATTCAATTTTTGAAAGTGCCATGATATAAAATTTGTATCGTGGTTGAATCTGAAGTCAATGCATTGTAGTCAAATTTTTTGCTCAATGAGCATTTTCAGTCTTTGACAGTAACATATATATATAGTATACCCACCCCAATTGTAGACATTATTGATTTGTCAGATCTAGTTTTAATCACCCCCATTCCATTATGATCATCATCAAAGATCTTCTTAAGCCTGAAAAGTAGTAGAAAAAAAAAATATATATATATATAATTTTTTAAAATCTATTAGACACTAAGAGAATCTTTTATGATACTTTAATAGAGTGGTGAGGGTAATTAAACTAGATCTGACATGTAAAAGTCAAACCACTGTTGAAAATGAATTCTGATCCAAATTCAAGTCCAAATCCTTCACAGTGGCAGTTATCACAGAGGCGATTCATTGTCAAATATACTATTTATAGTATTAATATACATTGTTAGAAAAAAGAAAAAAAATCACTTTTACAATTATATTACATTGTTTAAATTATTATTAAAAGAAACATAAAATATGCTGTGGTAATAATTACTTGATGTTCCCTTGCTTGTGCCAATTGTTTGGTTCCACCAGTAACATGTTCTGCAGCATTTTCAACATTGACTTCAATACTATCTACAAATATTAAAATTTTCATATGAATATTTACATATTATTAAAGTTAGATACATTACACAAATCAAAATAGCTGAAATATACAATAACTTTGATTACTAGTTACTCAGTATTATTTTTTTATTTTGAGTTAACAATTTTTAACTCAAAAATACTTAATAAACAAAATTAAAATTGTTTTAATCTATTATCATAGCTCAAGTTTCCTTTTCATTAAAATTTTTTTTGGTGGGTATTATATTTTTAATTTTTGTCAGACATTCCAAATAAAACCACATTGATCATTATATAAACAAAAGGAAATTTAATATATAAAAGCATTCAAATAATGAGATTTCAAAAGACCTGAGTTTATCATATAATAATAATTATTATATATATTTTTAAATATGTTTCATCCATATGAGCAAAATATTAAAAAATTATATGATTTTATTGTTCATTTCCATCTATTAAATATTTACATTGTAGAAATTTAATTATTTTATCAAACTTTTATCTTTATTATTAATTATTTAACTTAAATCTTTAATACTTTTTTAGATACTTTATCTAAAATTTTCAGGTGTCATATATTAGTCAGGTATTAAAAACCATAAACAAAACAATTCTCAATGTAGATTAAAATTTGATTTCATTCTAAATAATAAAGAAATTTGTTAATTAATTTTGTACTGATATTTTTATCACACTGAGTCAGGACTGCATTAATAAACATCTATCAGGTCAGTCCATAAGTTCGTGAGTATTTTTTGACCTTGAGAAAAATCTTGTTTTGCTGTTAAAATTGCCAGTCTAATGTGATACTTTTTAACTGAAGTGTTAAATTGGATCTCATTCATATAATACGTTCAGAATTGGGAACATTTCAGTTGTTTATTTTCGTTAAAATGGAAGTAACAGATGAATATAAGAGACATGTTTTATACTTTTTATTTTTAAGTGATGAGAATGCTACAAATGCAGCCAAAAAATTAAATACTGTTCATAATCAAACTGTAATTAGTGTAAGGACTGCGCAGAAGTGGTTTGAAAGATTTAGAAATAATGATTTTAGTGTGGAGGATAAGGCTCGTACTGGAAGACCCGTTGACTTTGATGATGATGCTCTCTCTGCACTAGTTGAAGCAGAACCATCTTTAACAGTTGATGAAATTGCGGAACGTTTAAATTCATCCCATGGAACTGTTCATAGACATCTACAACAAATCGGAAAAGTTTCAAAGCTAGGAAAATGGATACCACATGAACTGTCAATAGCTAACTGACAACAACGTCAACTGCTCAACTCAAAAGCTTCAACTGGGAAATTTTACCTCATCCACCATATTTGCCAGATATTGCTCCCAGTGATTATCATCTTTTTCGGAGTTTGCAGAATTTTTTAAAAGGAAAAACTTTTGAGGATGAGAACAATGTAAAAAAGGCTATTTCTGAATATTTTGATTCAAAACCGAAATCATTTTACAAAGACGGGATTAAAAAGCTACCATCAAGATGGCAAGAAATTGTACAAAATAATGGTGAATACATTATAGATTGAAATAAAATTTACTTAAAATTTTTTGTTGCTTTTTTTTGTAGATAAAAATGCGCACGAACTTATGGACTGACCTAATACAATATTTTGTGGTATTTTCATATTGCCCAATTGCATTTTGGTTCATTATTAAAAATTCTCATTCTCAATGATTATGATGAATTAGTTATCACCATTGTCAGAAGTACAAATGCAATATTAATCTTATTAATTATTATTCAGATGAAATTAATTTTACCAATGATTTCCCCTTGATCATGTACTAGAGATGCAAGATCTTTTAAAATTTGTAGTATGGTAAAAGTATGATATAAAATTTAAATTCTTGCCAAAAAATATAAAATTTCCTTATATCATGATGATTTATATTCTAGTCTAGTTTTTCAAAATAATTATATAAAATTTTTTGTTGTTATCACAGAATCTACAATATTAAATGTTAATTATTTATAGTAATTTTTATAAGCATGTGTGGTTATCATATGTGTATTAATATGTTTGCTTCTGTTGTATAACATATAACCATCATAAATACAGTAGAGCATCGATTATCCGAATATTGATCAACTGAAAGCTTTCCAGTTGGAAAATTTAAATTTCCACTAGTGCTGTGGCACTGCAATCTTTGGCTATGTCTTGGGCTATTCCAATATTATTTTTGTTCGTGTGCATGTTTTAGCCGGCAGCACTGGCGTGACTATGAAAGGGTACTTAAGGACCTGCCAGGATTTGAACGAATTTCAACATGGGAGAGGTTAATATATTTTTTCTTACATAACCGGTTATCTGAAAAATCAATTTTCCAAACAACCCCAGTCCCCAATTGATTTGGATAATCGATGCCTTATGTAATTCAATAAAAAATGACTATACTAATGACAATAATGATTATGATGAATTAGTTATCACCATTGTCAGAAGTACAAATGCAATATTAATCTTATTAATTATTATTCAGATGAAATTAATTTTACCAATTATTTCCCCTTGATCGTGTACTAGAGATGCAAGATCTTTGAAAATTTGATTCACATCAACGATGTCGGCCTGTAATATCAATCTTTGTTTAACGTATATCAAATAAAATATATTTAATATGCTACTAAATAGATATTTTAAACATACCTCTAATTTACGAACAGCCATTTCCCTTTCTCTTAAAAGTTCTATATTGACATCTTCTTCCATTTGTAACTGAGTTGGACTAAATTAATATATATATATATATAAAATAAATATAATCTCTCATTCTAACATAAGAATATTTTATATATTCATAATATATACATTCTGTCAGGGTATGAGATCCAAAAATACAAAGATCTCAGCATCTATAAAGTTTATTAAAATAATTTTTTTGAGTAAGTGAGAAAAGTTTTATGAATTTAATGTGGGCACCTTTTGTAACATGACAGATGTCACAATGATACTCAAGCTCTACTAAGTGTTTTCCAGCAACTGAAGCATTATCCTGCTGCAGTGATACATTGTTTCAAATCATCAAAATCTCACACTTTTCTCTAGTACATATAGTCTTTAATAAAGCCGCATGAAACAGCCTATGGAGTCATATATGGAAATCTAGGTGGCCATGCAGTTGGACCTTCTCTGACAATCCAATCTCCAGGAATAGTCTCATTCAAAAGCAGCTTGACATATTGATGAAAGTGTGGTAGAGCACCACCTTGTTGAAATGTAAAACCTGGAAAAAACCTATCATAATCGTAAAACAAAGCTCTGCAACATGTCAAGGTAAGCTTGTCCTAATCAATATGGTCTCTGAAAAAAAAACAGACCAATGATGCCATTTTTGTGCACTCCTAACCAGACATTTTGATATTACTCTTTCATTTTTGATCATTTAGTGAAAATTCTCATTACTCCAAATGCAACAATTATGTCAAAATAAAACTTGGAAAGATTTCTATTGGATACACTTTATTTTGTAAAAATATTACGAGTGTTTCTTGCCTTAGAAGCTGTTATTTTTGGATGCCTCTAGTCCAAACACTGCATACATATAGGAAAATTTATAATATATGGTCTCAAACTTAGTCAATCAAGATGCAAAAGTGGGAGTTCATTTTACTTTAGCTGTAATATACTAAATGCATTTTTCTACTAAATAATAATAATAGCACAGGAAAAAAAAAGAGAAAAAATATGAAATTGACAAATACTTTAAAAAAAAAACAAATCTAATGGAAATTTGTATTTTTAATTTAAATTAATCTAATTTAAATTAATCAAAAAATTATTCTGTTCAAGTAACTATTGATAATTATATTTAAAAGTAGTTAAATATGTTTAAGTAAATGAAACTCTTGCTAATTTTAGTGAAACAATTCTTTTAGTTTTTTAAATATTCAAATAATTATATATTTTATGATTTATTTTAAGGTTAATCTGTGTTCTTAGTATAGCTTTCAGCTAGTTTGGGCCATTTATAGTAGACCCCCTATAACACAGTAGATATGTTCTATTTTATATGAATTCCATGTTCTACAAGTCACTTAAATACATGAGCCAATCACAGCCCGACACATGTGCAGTTTAGGGACTATGGCTGTTTGAAAGGTTTTCTTCCATAAAATTAATCGATTCTAGATTAATTTGACTCAACATTTCCAAAACATGTATATTTTTTTGGGAATAATCCATATAAATTATGCTATAAACAAAAAGTTGTAGGATTACTTACTGAGTGTGCACCGTTCGATGATGCCATTGCTTAATTAAGCTTGTTTTTGTCATGGAGTGGCGCATTGAACAGCGGGTGTGTGTTTTCTGATAAGTTATTTTTCTGTGAAAAATCCGCTGAACTTTGGAGACATCATTAATATAAATATAATTTTTATGGGTGTTAAATAATAAATGGTTTTTAGTAGATCCACTGCTCGTTTAAACTCAACAGTTTGTGTAATATTATCTGCTATTGGTCTAGATTCAACCAATCCTGTTGAAACATGAGTCAGCGATGACGTTTTACTGTATTATACGAGTCTCTTTTAGCGTGTTTATACAAATACTATCTCAATTTTTTCACCACGTTATACGAATCCATATTATATGAACCTGTGTTATAGGGGGTCTATTGCACATTTATATTATGCCTTATATTATTTCATGGTTTAAATTACCAACCAAAGCTGGCCTGCATTGTATGGTGACTTTTTCCATAAGCTTCTTCACAATGGTTAATTAACAGAGTAAAAACAGACTGATTATTCTTGGCACTCAAAAACATTCTTTATTAATGAATTAGTTGTTATGATACTATTATTGAAAAATTGGCCACAAAACAAAGACAAAAAGAAGTTCTTAAATTATTTTTATATACATAATGATGAACTGAATCAAACTTCTTCAATACTTTATTAAATGTAGTAATTTTGTAGCAGTAATGTTTTGACATCTGATTTAAAATATTAAAAATTGATCACAGCTATATAAAATTATCATATATATATTACTAACAGAGGACTAACATGGGTCTAAAATAACTTTTTTGAAAAACTGTCCAATATCAATATTTTCAATAATATTAGATAATGCAGTGCTTTTCAACCTTCTTGAATAAGCGACCCCTTTACAAGTTAAAAAATTCTGGCGACCCCCCCAGGGCCATATTAAAACTATGTCAGTGATTTTATAAACTACGTATTTAAGTTTCTTTCTGTTGAGACCTAAATATAGATCGAAAAACCAATTATACTGTAAAATAAACAGGCACAGCCCTCTCACTGAGATTGTAGTTTTTTTTGTTGTAGTGTAGGACTTACAAACACTTGTCTTTTTCTTTTACCCAAGACCCCCATGTAAGGCTTTGCGACCCATAGGTTGAAAAACACTGAGATAATGTATTGAATGTAACCATTAACTTTATTTTAATCAGACTATTTTAACATTTCAAACCAACCAATGTGAATTAATCTTCAATTCTATTCAAATTTTACAAAACAAAGAGTATAAAAAAAATTTTACCTGGCTAGATCTATTAAATTCACTGCATTTTTTGAAGATCCATCATCAAATGGATTCTATAACAAAATTATAATTTCAAAATCATTAACTTTGTTTTCATTAAAAAAACAATGTACAATTTTATCAAATTTCATTATTATAAAATTATTGTATTAAGTTAATATACTTAACAACACTCATGGAGAGTAAGTACAATTTGAAAGTTTTATAATTTGAAAACACAACTTTATAATATAGTAATGAAAACATTTTATTAGAATATGAGTATTTTTGGCATATTTATCATTTAACAGAATTGTATGCATACATATATAAAAACCAATATCAAAAATTGGATTTTTACTGTACCAAGCACACGAGACATTCAAATGCTATCATAATGGCATTACATAAATAGAAATTAGTTGTTTTTCTAATAAAGCCACCATTGCTTCATATCTAACATTCTTGAAATTCTAATACTGACCCCTGTTAAACCTGAACTTGCTCTTGCTCTCATTACGCTCTCTCTCTCTTTGTGAGCTGCTGTTCGCTGAGTTTCTTGAAAATTCTTTAAGCATTCTGTAAACTCGTCAGTCAGTCGATCTTTTAACATCTTCACATCTTTCTATAAAATTTCAATTAAATTAATTCTAAGCATTTCCATTTACTAATAAACAAATAAGTTTTGAAAATTACCTGATCTGAAGCACTGCTTAGATGTGATAAATTTTTTAAAAGTGAACTGGTATCTTTAGCCAACTGATTAGTATAATGTTGTACTTGATGGCTGAACAAAATTAATATTTAGAATTGGTAAGACAGATGTAATACCTTAAAAGTATGCTAATATAAAATATTGTATAAGTCAATGAAATTAATAACTATGTTCAAAACATTATTAACTAATGAATACCAAACACTTTTAAAGTGTTTGGTATTCATTAGTTCACTAAAATCATAAAAATTAGCAATTATTATCAATTTTCTTTCATAATTTCTTTATTTATTAGCTTTTTCCAAACCACTAGTTATCTAAAGAGTTTTAATTGGAAAATAATCATAAATATTAAGTATTCATGGATGTTATAAAATGTTCAACAGTTAATTCTCTTAATTTTAACAATTTTAAACTATTATTATTAAGAAATAGTTCTATAACAATATTCTAAGTAATAATATGAATAATAGATCAATATCAATATACAATCATAAAGATTTCTTTTCCTTAATCTTTTTCTGCTTTATTAACACTATTATCACAAAATTTTAAAAACAGAATTCCTATGATAAATTCTAGATATGCAAATATATATATATATAATATATAATATGAATGAATTCTGAATATATATATATTCAGAATCACACATATAATAAATAAATATATATATATATATATATATATATAAAGTTTATATTTAAATAGGAAAAACAATTTTCAATAAAAAATAATGTAATGAATACAAACAAAATAATAATGCAATAACTTTTTCTCTATCGTAGTTTGTAAATTTATTAACTTTNTGAACATAAATGTTAACTTTATTGTACATATCACCAAATGAACATTAGAAGAGTTAAGAAGGTTTGGAAGAGTTCTATGAAACATATTTGGACAAGGATAAATATCCTGTGTTTTACAAACATGCTCTGTCGATGGTTTCGCTATTTGGAAACATTTATGTGTGTGAACAACTTTTTAGTCACATGAAGTACATCAAATCTCAAGTGAGAACATGAATTACTGATGTTCATTTGGAAAACTGTTTGCATGTAGCGATATCATCAGTCGAGATCAATTTTGATGCACTTAGTTCTGTAAAACAAAGTCTGATGTCTCACTTTTAAATATTTTTAAATTGTCTAATAAATATGTTTCTCGGTTATTAAATAAATGATTCTCGGTTATGTTTTATTTTCTTCAAAAAAATAAATATACCTATTTTTTGTTTTTTTTTTTCATTAAACCAGGCAAGTGTTTGACCATGATCTCACCTACTGGAAAGCAACGATGTGGTTGAAGCTGTAGCAAGCTTGCTTGTTTACTTTAACAAAAAAAAATTAGGTGCGTGGCTCAGCAGGAAATATTATTTCTGAAATTTGGCCCACCTGCTAAAAAGGTTGGCCACCCCTGGTTTAAGCTGTCACTAGTTTCCTTTGCTAAAATGCTACAAGAATTTAGATTTAGTGACAACTTTCTTGGCACATTTTGCTACAAATCTAACATCTTCCAAGTGGTTAAAGCATTTTAAAAACTATTTTTAAGATGTTTTAACTAGAAGAATGGTCATTGGACCACTGATGGTCTGTTAGCATGCACCAAGTGGTCCAGAGATCGACTTACTCATTTTTCAAAAAGTACAATTCTATTCTGTTTAGTTAAAGAAAAGAACATTTTTATGCACTGTATATCTCTCATATTTTATCACCAGATAGAGAAAATATTATAGCATACATGTATGATGACATTTACAGGATAGGAAGTTGGCCTAGGTGGTCCAAGGTTTATTTGACTCAGCTTAAGTGGTTCACAGATTGAGTTACTTTGAGAATCACTGGTTTAAATAATGAATGATAAACAGAAAACTACACTGGCGAAAATTGAAAGTGTTACACCCACCCAGTATTGTCGAAGACATATGAAATCGAGGCAAAAGAATTTTTGAAGGGTATTGAAAGATCAAAAATAAAATCAAGTACATACAGTGGTATGGAAATTATGGAGACATTTGTTATGCAAAATTGCTGTAATGTTTACCTTATAAGTTGTGAACTGTGTTATGGAACATGACTTTTTTTGGTCCACAGGTTATTGGTGACCAGCTATGCCATATTGACGAGTGAGAACTCCGTATACCCAAATGTCTGACTTTGAAAGAGGTCGGATAATTGGCATGTCAAAACTGGGAGCATCATATCATGAAATCGTTTGACAGACTGGCTGAAGTGCTATGTCAGTACAAGTGGTCACAAGGTGGATGCAGGAAGTGTCCAGTACTCGCAGACCTGGCACAGGTCCGCACAGGATAACGCCACGTGAAAACCACCATATTGTACAGATGGCAGTTGCTGAAAGATGGGCAACGGCAGCACAGGTCCGAGCAATAGTTATTGCCAGAGTCATCCCACAGACAATTGTAAACCAATTACTTGATGCTGGGCTGAAATCTCGGACCCCATGCAATGTGTTCCCTTAACCAGATTTCATTGCCAACAATGGCTAACATGGTGTCTGCTAGACAAATTGGACACATGAATGGCGTACAGTTGTGTTTAGTGATGAATTTCTATTCTATTGGGTCAATGTGATAGTTGGCAACATGTCCGCTGGCGTGCTGGAGAAAGAGCCCACCCTGCTGTAATTTCAGAGTGCCATTCAGATACAACTCCTGGTGTCATGGTTTGAGGGCAATCAGTTACGACAGCAAAACCAAGTTGGTGGTTGTTGAAGGCACAATGACCGCCCGCCAGTATGTAAACAGGGTGATCCATCCAGTAGTCATACCTTTCATGATCATCATCCAAAATGGTATCTTCCAATAAGATAATGCCCATCCTCATGCTGCTGCCATCACAAGACAGGCCTTCCAAAGTGTCGCAAATCATGGATTGGTCTGCCTGATCTCCAGATTTATCCCCCATAGAGCATGTCTGGGATGCCATGGGTAAACGGATTATGTCTCATAGCCATCTAGTGAGCACTGTACAACAACTGACTGCACAAGTTGTGCAGGCATGGAGAGATATACCCCAACAAGACATTCAAGCACTTATTGATTCAATGCCTGCAAGGATCCAAGAGTGTATCCATGATTAAGGTGGGCATACCACTTACTGAAACATGTACCAAACAGCAATAAAACCTTGCTTAATTCATTTCTTCTGGGTATGCCACTGTACATGTTTACCAAGTTTTGTGAATTTCCACCAATTCCATCTGGGTGTAACACTTTCAATTTCCACAAGTGTATTTTCCAATTATTAATCTCAAGAAACTTACAAAAACAAATAATATTAGAGGCAACTTCTGTAAAAAGATTCATTATTTTTATCATTACAAAAGCAAACCAGAATTCACAGAAGTAAAATATGAATTTTAGATTAATTATTAAAAATTTTTCATAAACAAGATCAAATAGGCACAATATTAGAATTTGATTCTTTTAATATTAAAATAAAGAGTATAATCTAGTTAATAAATATTAATGAATGCAAATTTGCTATTAAATTATTATATTAACAATAAAATAATTTTAAAAAAAAATAAGCAAAACATTATCCAATATATTAATGAAAATTTGTAAATACAAATCATGGTCTGATTCCTAATAGACATATATAAAGGTCAGATTATTTTCAGATTAGAAGTAACTTAAGTCTAGTTTGAAACTAATCCAGTTTTTAGATATGTCTGGATAACAAAAATTTAACTTATTTAATTACTTACAGCTGTGAACGAAGAGTTTCAGAATCTTGTGGTGTTCCTAACTGACTGACCATCTTTTGCATGGAAGCAACTATTTTACATAAGAAAAAAAGTGTTTATTATTTAAGAAAAATTTTATAAAATTGTTTAATACTAATTAGAGATTCAAACTAACAGATCTTTTAATATGAATGATTTTTCATAATGTATAGTATAGCCAGCCTTTTTTTTCCTCCACTTCTTGGACACTAAAAGAACTTTTTTCTAGACCCATTCTGGATCTGGGTGAACTCATGATAGGGACGACTAGGTAGTGAAGGATGAAACCTGACATATCTGGCACCACAAAAAGTTTTAGTTGCTTGCCTGGATTCATTCCATGTCCGTAGAACTGAAAGCTGACAGCTTAATCAAGTCAACCATCTGGCTGTCATATTCAAGCCGATTATAGATATTTATTAATTATGTTAAGAAGCCATTAATGTAAAGAAACACAAAATTTTGGTGACAAATTTTTTTATAATAATGAAATTAACCTAATGTGGCTACTTTCTTTGTTTTCTTATTACGTAGTATTATAACAAATATCTTTCTTAATATGCTTTCTTACCACACCGGGTTGTATAACTTCACAACCAACAACTGTCTACCCTTAACCATTAACCGGTGCGAAATTCTTTAAAATCGGCGAACGTTTTCGATTCCCCTCCTGGGATCTTCTTCAGGCTTACTTCTTTATATCTTTCGTTATAACTGGATTCTTTAATTCGAATGTTTTTGAAAAAACGTAACATGCTATTTTTCGAAAAAATTCCGAAAACGGAAGGAATCCACTTGTTATTTCAAATGTAATTTTCTACCAATGGGGAATCATTGTGTGCATTACGTCATAAAACTTGTCTTATAAACTATATTATGATTTATCGTCAATTAAAAATTGCCATGCTGCAGAGAGATTTATTTCTTCTTTGAAATTAGAATTTCAAATTTGAAATTAGAATTTCAAAGAAGAAATAAATCTCTCTGCAGCATGGCAATTTTTAATTGACGATAAATCATAATATAGTTTATAAGACAAGTTTTATGACGTAATGCACACAATGATTCCCCATTGGTAGAAAATTACATTTGAAATAACAAGTGGATTCCTTCCGTTTTCGGAATTTTTTCGAAAAATAGCATGTTACGTTTTTTCAAAAACATTCGAATTAAAGAATCCAGTTATAACGAAAGATATAAAGAAGTAAGCCTGAAGAAGATCCCAGGAGGGGAATCGAAAACGTTCGCCGATTTTAAAGAATTTCGCACCGGTTAATGGTTAAGGGTAGACAGTTGTTGGTTGTGAACAAATATCTTTCAATGGGAGTTTTAATTATTGCAATGACACAATGACTACCACAGATGCATCATTAATTGAATTGTGTATTAATCTGTAGCACACAACTACATCAATCAATCCTGCTATTTATAGAACATTAGAAATCACATATGCAAATAAATATACTCATTTATTTACTGTATTTGCATCAATTGAAGTTGTTATAATGATTTCTATTAAATTTTTTCTTTAGTTCCTGAAGTCATTTCAAGAAATGTTTTCTATTGATTGGTTTTTTAAATAATTTTAAAAATAGATCTATAGGAAATTGCTAGCAATTAATTGTTTTAAATAATTATACAGTATCTATAAAAGTCATTATTAAGACATTTATAGCCAAAATACTTGTAAAATCTTAAAATATAGGAGTTATGGCAAGAACATAAGCCAAAGATGAGCTTTATAAAACAAAATTAAAACAGAAGTTATGAATGAATACATTTTGATTTTCTTTTTAAATAAACAATAACTAAAAAATTAATAGCAAAAATAAAAAGCTAGTTTCTTCAGTTAACATCAAAACATTCTAGAATATATATATTTAATTTAATTAATAAAAAAGATAAAGGTGAAAATCAATTTGTGAAATACAGTTCTAGGAATTCTGACAGAACAATATCATCAAATAGTTCATTAATCAACTTATGAAGAAATCAACAAAATTTGTTGATTTGTCCACAGACGTTACTGAAGACAAGTCTATTATGACAACCAATATTATAATTCCAGATCTTTGTACATAATTCAAAAGGATTTATAATAAAACACAAAAATCATTCTATTTGACAAGGAAAATTAATCCTTTGTAACAGTTCTTAATAGAAAATTAACAGTTTAAATTATAAGATCAGATGTTCCTGTCTTGATTTGTAAGCTATTAACCGTGTCTAAAAGTAAACAAAGCTTGAGGCAAGTCACGCGATTGGACCTTCTTCAACTTCTGGTAGAACGTAGAAGTTGTGTCAATAGTTGATGCAAAAAACATCCTGTGTATCAGTCACATTTCTTTAAATAACTATATTGTCTCATAAAATTATTGTTAGGATATATTATTGTTTATACATAAAACTAAATTTAATTCAACTTTCTTCTCCATTTCTTTGATGCTTTTTTTAGAGAAGATAGTGCAACATTCCTCTCTTATTCTTGCTTTGTTTACTCAATACTATTCAGAAGTTCATAAAATTATTGTTAGGATATATTATTGTTTATACATAAAACTAAATTTAATTCGACTTTCTTCTCCATTTCTTTGATGCTTTTGTTAGAGAAGATAGTGCAACATTCCTCTCTTATTCTTGCTTTGTTTACTCAATACTATTCAGAAGTGTCTACAATTACTAAAAAAACTTATTTATATTTAAATTAAATATTTTCGATTATTTTTAATTTTCTATAGGGTTTTTATATGAAGATAATGCTCCATACAAAATAATTTTGAAATATATTTTATATATATAGCCTATTGTCTAAAAAGATCCTATATATAGAATTTATGTAGGGGAAAAAACTTATAAAAATGTTAAAAAATAATTTAGTTAAACTTTAAATAGTTCTAGAAAATTAGGCAGTGAATGGCTAGCCAATGATGGGATTACTGCTCCTAAAAAATTAATTTTAATAAAAAATAAAATGAAAGTTTCTTTATCATCAATTTTAATTTAAATATAATACTGTTTTAAAGTAATATTTACTCTAAAATCCTTAATGTCAGTCAAATATAAGTCGTGAGTGATTAAAGTAAGATAATGTGCAAAATAATGTAACAGTACATCGTTCTAATAAAAGATCTCTAATTAAAGTTATTGTGGTGTGACAGAGATTTTTCTTTTATTTATTTTCTTTTTTATAATATATAAAATTCAGTTTCTTTTCACTTCAGTTTTTATTGTTGTCAGACAGAATTATGAGACATGAAACACGTAACATTCAAAAATATACTTACGAAATTAACTAAAGTAATAAATATAATTTATGTATAATACTGTTTTAAAGTAATATTTACTCTAAAGACCTTAATGTCAGTCAAATATAAGAACATTTATGCCACTGAAAAAGCCATATTGCATGTTTATATCTTCAATACACTATTGTACAGTATACATGTACATTTTAATCAAATATATTAGCTTGAAAGTAATAAATTTAAGTTAGAATTACTTGGAAAACTCCTTGTATAAGCTTGTTACAACATATTTCTATTTCTGCATATACAGTAGACCCCTATAACGCAGATTCCTATAACGCGGTGAAAAATTGCGACAGTATTCATATAAAGACACTAAAAGGGACGCATAAAACGCAGTAAAACATCATCGCCGACTCGTGTCGTGACAGGATTGGTCGAATCTGGACCAATAGTAGACAAGCAGCTGAACTACTTACACACTACAGAGAGTTTAGACAGGTAAGTTGAGTTTACTATCGTCTGTACAGTATGTAAATTAGGTACCATAAGTCTAATACAGCACTGTAATTTTATACATTTCTTGTGAAAGAAACATTTCTTATTCAATGGCCATAAAAATTATTTCTATTAATGATGTCTCCAAAGTTCAACAAATTTTTCTCAGAAAAATAACTTATAAGAAATCGCGGCCGCCATTTGGTGCGCTGCTCCGCGACGAAAACAAGCTTAAGCAATGGCGATGTCGAATGGTGCACACTCGGTAAGTACTCCTACAATTTTTCATTTATAGCATGGTTTATACTGATTATTCCCAAAAAATTATACGTATTTTTGAAATGTTGAGTCAAATTAGTCTAGAATTGATTAATTTTATGGAAGAAAACCTTTCAAACAGCCGTAGTCTGTAAACTTCACACATGTCGGGCTGTGATTGGCTCATGTATTTAAGGATTCCTACAATGCGAAATTCTTATAAAGCAGAACATATCTACTGCATTATAGGAGGATCCACTGTATATAGNTTAATTTTATGGAAGAAAACCTTTCAAACAGCCGTAGTCTGTAAACTTCACACATGTCGGGCTGTGATTGGCTCATGTATTTAAGGATTCCTACAATGCGAAATTCTTATAAAGCAGAACATATCTACTGCATTATAGGAGGATCCACTGTATATAGAAGTAACAGGCAATTTTACACAGATGAAACTATATATAATTTGATATTGTAATAATTAATGTATTGCTACTCAATTGGGGTATAACTCTATTAAATTACCCCAAATTATAGTTAGAAATTTATTTAAAAGCATCTAAAAATACAAATCTTAAGTACATTTTATAAACAAAATTATAACCTACAAGCAATCATCTTTGTATACAATGTATACAGTAGATTTATATACTTTCATCAATACATAAATTATATTTATTACTTTAGTTAATTAATAAGTCGATTTTTGTAAGTATATTTTTGAATGTTACATGTTTCACATCTCATAATTCCGTCTGACGATAATAAAAACTGAAGTGAAAAGAAACTGAATTTTATATATTATAAAAAAGAAAATAAATAAAAGAAAAATCTCTGTCACACCACAATAACTTTAATTAGAGATCTTTTATTAGAACGATGTACTGTTACATTATTTTGCATATTATCTTACTTTAATCACTCACGACTTATATTTGACTGACATTAAGGATTTTAGAGTAAATATTACTTTAAAACAGTATTATATTTAAATTAAAATTGATGATAAAGAAACTTTCATTTTATTTTTTATTAAAATTAATTTTTTAGGAGCAGTAATCCCATCATTGGCTAGCCATTCACTGCCTAATTTTCTAGAACTATTTAAAGTTTAACTAAATTATTTTTTAACATTTTTATAAGTTTTTTCCCCTACATAAATTCTATATATAGGATCTTTTTAGACAATAGGCTATATATATAAAATATATTTCAAAATTATTTTGTATGGAGCATTATCTTCATATAAAAACCCTATAGAAAATTAAAAATAATCGAAAATATTTAATTTAAATATAAATAAGTTTTTTTAGTAATTGTAGACACTTCTGAATAGTATTGAGTAAACAAAGCAAGAATAAGAGAGGAATGTTGCACTATCTTCTCTAAAAAAAGCATCAAAGAAATGGAAAAGAAAGTTGAATTAAATTCAGTTTTATGTATAAACAATAATGTGAGAACCGAGGGGGTTAGTTGTCCCCATTTACCGGCAGCTCTGTCAGAGGATGGCTTTATAAGAGGGCAAAATAAAATGAGTGGGGAGGTTAATGAGTAAGTTGACAGGTTCCCAAATATATACACAGGTTGAACAAGAATAACACATTTAATAAACAATTATAAAATTGTATATATCAAAGGCTAAAGTGAAGATCTACAAAATTCTATTCTACGTCGCGANATACACAGGTTGAACAAGAATAACACATTTAATAAACAATTATAAAATTGTATATATCAAAGGCTAAAGTGAAGATCTACAAAATTCTATTCTACGTCGCGACAATGATTTGTCTTTCATATGGAATATCTAATCTCTATTCTCTAAGTTAAATTAAGAGATGAGAGAGAGATCTCTAGAAGAGAGACTTCTCAGAGAGAGTGACTTTGCAGAGAGAGAGTATACAAATAGACATCCAAAAAAATACCTCTAAGTTCCCGATCCGTAATATGGGTCGCTGGTGAATATTTCGCTGAATATTTGTTCCTGGATCGTCACAGTAGTTATGGCGATATTGGTCAGTAGATGTGGCAGTCGATGTCTGCCTTGTGGACTGCATCCAAGCCCTTTTTATACTATTTTTGAGGGGGTGAGAACTATGACATCATTAATGAATTATACGCACACCTGTTCATGTGTTGATGACTGGATCTAGCTTGTACGGACAACTGACACAGAGAAGTTTGTTTAATTTATTGACGTCAGTGTCTAGAAGATATGATTTTATAATATAAATTTCTATATGTTTGACGGCTCTCATCCATAAATTAACATTCATCTGACAGTAATTTCTTTAACCCGGTCAACTATCTAGATATTGTTTATATAAAATGTCGCATTTGACTATGAACAAGGCAATTTATTGCTGTAACCACGTGTTACGTACAAAAAGGGGGACCGCAGAAGTCCCCCTTTTTCCCTAATCACGAAGTTTATTAGAAAGGTGATATTGTTCTAAAAAAAAGGGTTTTGGACCGTCACAATAATATATCCTAATAATAATTTTATGAAACAATATAGTTATTTAAAGAAATGTGACTGATACACACAATGTTTTTCGCATCAACTATTTTCACAACTTCCACATTCTACCGACAATCACGTGACTTGCCTCAGGCTTTGTTTACTTTTAGACATGGTCAATAATGTAGAGATGGAATTTACACTTTCATAATCATTCTACTGTTTATTATTACATTTCATATGATATCAGTCATTTAAAATTATCTTAATTTTTTTTATTAATTTCACATTTTTAAATTCAAATGTGAAAACAAAAAACAAATACAATTTTGAACAATATTAAAATAAACACTTACCATTTTGTGATATTTTCTGAATATTTGTTCCTATCTCTTGCGACAATCGTGAAAATTCATTTTGACTTTCTAAAAATAGTGGAAAAAAATAAAGAAATACTGATAAGATAAATACTGTAAAATAATTTAAATACCTTAACTAACTATATTTAAATTCTTATTCACAAAAACAAATATTTTTATCTTAATTCTAAATAATATTGGAGTTTAAACCTATTCTAACAAAAAAATTTATTAATAAAATTTTTAATAAAGCAAAACAAAAAAGAATATAAATTCAATACTATAAATTTTTCATAACTGTTCTGTAACATTTATTTCTGCACAAGAAATAAATGACTTATAATTAACAAAGAATGTTCTGATTCAGTATTTCATAACCCAGATATGATCTAGGTTATGAAATACTAATTTAGAAAATTTTATTTAAAAATGTTATAAATTTGGTAATTGCATTAAACTCTGTTGTTATTTTTAAAATTTCAATGCTTATTTTCACTTTATCTAATGAAATGGATTAATTTAGTCAATAGCTTAAATAAAGTTAGATTCAAACTTCACTAAGACACACAAAACACATTTTTAATATTAATTAATTATTCATATATTTAATAATACTGCTTTCAGTTATATTCAAGTTTTTATATAATAAACTTGCTAAATCACCCATAAATATTTTATAAAAGAAACTTCATTATACAAAACATATTGCATCCACCAGCTTGACGACCTCCAGCTTATAAAGCAACAATACAATGATGCAAAAGGGAAGAAAACTGATAAACAATGAATTTACTTTAATTTTATATTATAGATTTATTTCTTTACTTTGTTGAACATTTTGTTCAAAATTTAAATTTTAACCACTGTTACAAAAAACAAAAGAAAGTTTCTCATTATCTTTATTATATCCAAGTAGTGTTTTTAATGTATTTTATTTCTTTCAATTTGTCAATAATACTTGATATTTGAATAATTTATTAACCCAAGAAAAATGCAATTAAATGCAGTCAAAAATTTTAATTGTAAGTGAAAGATTGGATTAAACAGAAATCTGTTATATGGACGTTTATTGCATTTAAACAAGACAAAACAAATATAAGCAATATCTACAACTTTAAAACAAGTCAAAGCAATATCTACAACTTTAGGGATAAGCTTATAGTCAAACAACAGTGTAACAATTGTGATGATAGATTTTGCACAGTTTTGGTATGTTCACTGCCCTCTGCACAACTAGACACATAACTACAGGCATATACTTCTAATCTAGTGATACAATTCCAAAGCTGAATGTTCAACTTTGATGTTTGATTCCAATGCCAAACTGTGCCAAGTTAGCTGCTGGACAGTTTAACTATAAACCAGATGATTTTCTTGTCAACACCAGTGACTTTGAAACTTCAGACTGATGTTGGAATATAAACCAGCTTTAACATTCAAGTTAACTGTACAAAAATGTTTTCAAAGTTTTACACACTATCTCAATCTATTAATATGGTTTCCCTCAAATCCTTGTAATCATATTAATGCACTAAACTAATTTGTGTGTATTTTCTTGGGTGTATTCTCATTGATCAGGATCATAATGCTTCTGTGATATGTCCTAGTAACTCTTTCATAGCAATAGATGGGACAGCATAATCATATCTTCTTTTAATCACCATATAAAAAAATCTAAGGTTAATCTGAAATAAGAGATCAAAGTCATTGATTTCTTATTGAACCCTGCAGAAACCACAGCTCTGTTGCAAAATTTCATAACACCGTATTTACTCACATATAAGACGACCTCACATATAGCATGAGGTGTGATTTTAACCTGTCCCATGTTGTTCCTGAATATTTTCGTGTTGACCTCATTTGACCTGCCCTGTTGACCCCAAATATATTTATTTCTGCATCAGAACATTCTAGATACTAGATGTCGCTACATGTCATAATTTTTATATTAAAACAAACTTTGAAAATGTAATTTTTTTGTTTTTATATTTATTAATATAGATATTTTGTTTGTGAAAAATAATTTTTAACAATGCAGTAGCCACAATTATTATGTTTAAAAAATTTTCATTAGGCTTAACATTGACAAAAATTCAATATGGCAGCCATATGCAATGGAGAAAAATTTCAACATGGGATAGGTTAAAATTAGATTTGTTAATACAATTCTAATTTTATTTCATTTAATCACAAGTAAAATATCAAATGAATGTAAATGCATACATTGTCCTGCAAAAATTACTGGCATTTTAAACTTTAAGGAAAAATCTTGTAAAATTGACAACATAATTTGTTCATGTAAAACTGGACAATTAGGAACCTTTTTTTTTTGCCAATTCTTAACAGTCGAATCCACTCTCCATCGATTACACTTATCAGTTTCTCCAAATTCTGATTTCCGAATAATCATCTGTTAAATGGGAATGGATTAAAACTTATATTGTGCTCCCGTGTGATTTTGGAATTTCAATCTGGAATTCAATTCAAAAGCTTTGCTTTTCCTACTGCTATTCATCTTTACTCCTGACAATGCACAAGAATGATTGAAATGACCCAAATAAAAGACTTATGTTTTTAAATACAAAAGAGTAAGCATCAGGTAAAAAATGCAAATACAGTACAAGGTTCACAAAAATTATTTGCAAAAGCACAAAGAATCTTTCGCTCACACGTATAGGACAACCTAGAAATTTGAAGCTGTGATAAATGAATAAAAACCTCATCTTATATGTGAGTAAATACGATAATTCAATTACCTGTGGTCTTAACATATCTGTTAAATAATCCAAATGATTCAATGATTAGTTTAGCATAACACTATAAATAAATGAAAATTACCTGACGTATATCCAGTTTTATAAGAAGAATACTGATATCCATCATAACCAAAACTTTTAGCCATGATGAAACTTTCAAAACTTTCAAAAATACTTTTAAACCTATAAAAAAAATAATAAAAATCAATTTGAAAATTATTAAATTTAAAATTATTTATTATTAATAATTAACAATATGTTAAAATACTTTAATAGCACTACATATACTTTAGAACATTTAAAAAATAGAATCTAAAAGTAAAAAAAAACCACTGCATTAATTACTAAAAATCTGTGTTGAATATGTATATAATATACAGACCAAATTCATTTAAATTGAGTTTCTTCACTTGAGTATCTTAGAGAATTAAAGATAATTTTGTTACTTATGACTTGAAACAAGATAACCAAGTGCAAATACGATAGCATTCATGATACATTTTTAAATATTTGGCAGACATCTAAAAATTGGCATTTAACCAACTAACAATAGGAAATTCAACCACAAATTTGTAGAATGGCATTGCTAAACACTAAATTAATATTTTTTGGATTAAGATGTTCTTGACGTTTATTTTGCAGCTACACTTATCACATGCTGTATGAAAAGCAATCACCTGGCAGACTGTCATAGTAATATGCATTGCATCATGTACTACTGCATCATATAATGTATGGCTAAATATCGTCATAAAATAAACATTAAAATTTAACCAATTTGCTATCCATCCAACACTCTTATATAACATAAAATAAGTATTTTAAGGCAATCATATTATTTAGTGATTGTGCAATAAAAATTATTATTATATAATTCTAAGAATAAATCCATATTGATCAATAATATTCATATGACTATTGATTTATTTAATATTTTTAAAGAGAAAATATTTATAAGATGTCTATATAAAAAGAAAATATTTTAAAGAGATGTCTATACACCAAAAAATATTAAATGAACTAATTTAAAATAAGCAGCAAATCATTCAACTTGATTTTACTTTCAGCTTTTCATCATAAACATTTTGATCACAGTTATATGTTTAAAAAAATAACTAATACTTAAATCATTTTAAAGTATTATACAAATTTATATATAAGATACTTTAGAAAAAATCTGAAAGATTTTAAATTGATATTTACTAAAGATACATAAAATTGGAAAACACATTCTACGTTAAAGTTTCAACACTAAAACATTGTTTACTATATACATATTAGATATGAATAAATATAGGTTTAATGTATTATTCTGCTATTTAAAGGACAGATAAAACTGGTTAAGTGTAGATCAAGATCTTGAATGACATTCTTTGGTTCTTCCATTAAGCTTGAGCACTTTTTCTACATGTAGTAAGTCCTTGATTTAGTAATAAACTAAGTGAGAAGGGTACTCACTATTGCTGAAAGGTCATTAAATTGAATTTTAATAATTTTTTTAAAATTTTTATCATTATTTTAAAAACATGTACTGTACAGGTACACCACTGAATTTCTAGCACTCTTGGTTCCAAAGTCTTGCCAGATTAACTAATTTGCCAAACCAACTGTGGTCATGTATAATAATAATTCATCAAAACATTTCTTATCCACTATTTATACACTTCCCTTGTATCTAAAGTATACCACTGATTACTAGACACTTAATATTAATGTAAATTATGTTTGATGCCACCACTGACAATCTCATCTCAGAAACCATAGTTAGAGTTAAATTTAAGCAAAATAAACTAAAAATATGACAAAATTAGTGTTACCACCAACAAGTGCAGTGTAAATAATGTAAATTATCATGCCCTACATATAATGTCATCTGTCACCCAGTAAACAAGTCTAGTAGTCGTGGAAATTTCAAGTTCCCTTTTGTAATTTTGTCTGAATTAAAGGAAGTGTCGAACCAACAGTTGCCGGAAATTTGGTGGTGTGCCTTATTAATAATGAACTTACAACATGCAAGATTTATTATAAGTGTAAAAAAATAAATTATTATTATAATGTACAATGATAAAGCACAATTTTCTAATGTTGAAACATCCCACATAAGTGAATTAAACTTGGCCAACTCATGTACAATGGAAATCAAAGAAAGTGATGTAATAATTGAAACAAAAGGCAGATTTCAAGCCAAATTAAAGAACATTCTCTTTGTACCAGAACTATGGACCAACCTACTGTCAGTAGGGATGATAACTGATCACAGATTCAGTGTACTATTCCAAAAGAATCAACAACTATTATGGATCCAAAAACCAAAAGCATACACATGCAATGCTTTTGGTTTTTGCAATACACAGCATTTAAAGAAAAAGGGCTGTATTATGTGAAAGAAAGGTGGGAGGAATATAAGCTCCCTCAAACAAATGTCAATAAAATGAAAAGGTGACATGAACATTTAGGTCACTTAAACTTAAGGGACATATGGCACATGGCCAACAACTTAAAGGTCAGAAAACTAAATATAATAGGAAAAGAAGAACGCAGCCCCTGTGAAATCCGCATAAGAGGGAAATAAACCAGATCACCATTTCCGAAGCAAAACAAAAAGAGATGCAGAGAAATATTAGAACTGATTCATACCGACATTTGTGGACCAATGAGAACCTCCTCATTCAGTGAATTGAAATATTTCATCACATTTATTGATGATCACTGTAGACAGTGTGAAATACATTCGACCCCCCCTATAACACTGTTGATTATTCTGTTTTATATGAATTCCATATTGCACGAGTCACTTAGATTTTACAAATACGTGAGCCGTTCACAGCCCGGCACACATATTTGTAAACTCTAAGTAACTCATACAACATGGAATTCATATAAAACGAAATAATGAACAGTGTTATAGGGGGTCGACTTGTATATTTTATGAAAAACAAAACATACTTAGTCTTTGTAGAGAATAAAACAGGAAGAAAGATAAAGGCAATAAAAAGTGACAACGGAACCAGTATACTAATAGAGAATTTCAGAACTTCCTGAAACAAAGGGATTAGGCATGAGAAAACAGTCTGCTACACACAACAAAACAGCATTGTAGAGAGAAGAAACAGAACACTAGTGGAAATGCTACTCCAAGCAAGATTGAGAGAATGCTTTTTGGCAGAGGTTGTATATACCACATCATATATTAGAAATAGATGTCCATCAAAGAGCCTGGAAGGCAACATACCCTTTAAATTATGGACCAGTAGAATGCAAACTATAAAATATTATAGGACATTTGGTCAGATGGCATTCGCATTAGAAAAGAAACCAGGAAAAGGAAAATTCCAAGAGAAATCCACCAAATGCATATTTATAGGCTATTCTAGAAAAACAAAAGCATATTGTCTATGGAACATGAAGACAAAGAGAGTCATAACAAGTAGAGATGTCAGATTTATCAATGAATTCCCAAACAACTCAAGGGATGATATTGAAATGATTGAAGATGACAGATCCCATGGAAGAGAAAAACTCAATAATAAAAAAGTGGAATTAGATATCCTTGAACCTGCTAAGGAACAATTACAACCCAAAGAAAACATCTCATCCGAAAATGAAGACGAAAGTGAAAACAAACAAAATAATGAACTAGTAAGAGAGAGTGGGAGGCCATGAATCACTCAAACAGGACAAAGGGGGAGACCCAGAAAGAAATATAGAATGAAAATCATAGAAGAATCTGCCACAATTGGTAAAAAGATAGTCAAGGACAATGTAGAGCCTTTGACATATAAAGCCATGGAATCAAATGACTCAGCCAGATGGCGGACTGAGAAATGGAATCCCTGAGAAAATATAAGGTATGAAACTTAACGGAACTGCCAGAAGGGGCAACAACTATGAAATGCGAGTGAGTCTACAAAGTTAAGGAAAACATCACCAACAGAATACGAATAGAGTATATGAATACTAAGAGCAACTCTTCTGACCCACCATAAACACACAAATAGTGAATAGATCACTAAGTAAAGATAGTCTCTTCTTCGAGGGGGATTATTAGGTAATACTAAATTAAAGCAAATGTCCGTATCACAAACTGTGTATGAACTGGCAACACCCATGCAAGACCGCTCAAAACAAGGAGACCTGTTTTTAGTTAAGTGCCAAGTTATGGATGGGTGAACAAGTACATGTATAGTCTTAGATTAGAATAAAGTTTAATTCTAAGTTAAAGAACTGCCTCATCATTGTTCTAACAAAAATCCATTAATATATAAAAGGATTTAATTCAGATAAACTACATACATATACAATATATAATTAAATTGATTTTTATTGCACGAAAATCATATTTTTAGACATACTAAATTAATCATTTAATGAATATTGATTTGAAGACAATGACAAAGATATTTCTATCAACATTACTCCTTCATTTATTTATTAAAAATTTATAAATATTTGTTTTTCAATAGCAAGTGTTTTTAAAATGTATCTGTAGAATTAAAAGAAGTTTAATTTTTTTTTTCATTGAAGATCATATTCTGATACACCTGTAGAATATTTTTCATTTAAGAAACAACAGAAGTATCCTTTCTAGCTAAACAAATATAAAAAAAATATATATATATATATATCTATTTATATATATATAAATAGAACAAATTTAAGATTTATAAATTCAAAACTTAATTATTTACAAATGCATATTTATAGCTATTTTATTGCAACATGTCATTTCTATGTTTTTGTAACAATATGTAAAAAAACTAACTTAAACTCAGTCAAACTGATCAATCTTCAAACTACTTTGGCCTCAGTTCAACTGAACTAGTTATGATTAACAGCTTTATTTTAGTAAAAATACAGTGGAACCTCGGTATACGACCTTAATCCGTTCCTGATGTTTGGACTTATACCGAATAGGACGTGTACCAAACCAACCTTTCCCATAAGAAGTAATGCAAAAATGATTAATCCGTTCTCGTGAAAAAACCGTCTTGATATGGTATATTAATGGGGTTGTAAGATGATTTAAACACTGTTTGAGCACATTAATAAAAAAATAATTTTATTGTAGATTTTTAAAGTTATTACAGTATATTGTATTATATTATTTAAATCACTAAATCTAAATCAAATCAAATTAAACTCTCCTTAACACTAAAATACAAAAACAAAAAATTTTCTATTCT